CATCTTGGACAACACAGCAAGACCCTCATCCCCTCTCCTCCCTTTTTGGTGCTGGGGATGGAACCCAGGGCCATCTGTATCCTAGGCAAGCACTCTGCCATTGAGCCACAATTGCAGCCCAAGACCCTACCTCTCTAAAAAAATTGTCAGTACTTTTTTTTTTCATTATTCCCTAGACAGTATAACTATTTACATAGCGCTTACATCATATTAGGAATTACAAGTAGAGATGATTTAAAATATATGGGAAGATCTGAATAGGTTATAAGCAAATATGCCATTTTGTATATGACCCTTGAGCACCTGATAATTTTGGTGTTCCTGGGGGTTCTGGAGCCATACTGAGGGATGATTGTTGCCTATTTTCAGGTTAGCCTTAAAGCATTGCTTGTAGCGAATCTACCTGTACTACTTTATCAGCTTTCAGCATTCTCCCACAGTCTAAGCTTTAAGTCCAAACTCAGTGGAGACTTGAAACCTTTCATACTCTCACAAGTACCTCTAGTCTCTTTTCTCATTATATATGCCTTTGTCCAAAACATACTGGCTTCTTGCTATTCCCAATATACTTGCATTTTTTAGTCATTAATTCAACCAGTATTTACTGTCTCTTCTGAGCCAAGCTCTTTGCTACAAAGTTCAAGGAGAAAATCCCTGCTTTGGAGCAAACAGTTCAGTAAATGTTAGGCTGAGCATGATAAAGGCTAAAATAGGTGCTATGTGTGCACAGATAACAGTTTCTAGCCTGGCTTGTGAGGGGGAGGTCAGGGAAAGGGTGCATTGGGAATCTATACTCGAACTTCACCTTTGAAGTCCAGTAGGAATTAACTAAGAGAAAAAGAAAGGAAAGTATATTTGCAGCGAAGGGAAACAAAGCAAAATGGCATAGAGAGTAGAAGTATGGTTCTGGGTGAGATTTTTAAATAATTCAGTGGTAGATCCAGAGTATAAGTGGCTGGCAGAGCACTAAGGCTGGAGAATAGCCAAGAGCAAGATCTAGAAGGCCTCCATAAGAGTACCCTGAAGGCCACAGGAATCCAGGAACGATTTTGAGTAGAGGTGTTATTAGTTTTATTTGTCCCTTTGCTGGTGCCCCATATGTGGTGCCTCATACTATTTTCCCTTTCTCCACTTTCTCAACCACATCTCCACCTGTCTAAATTCTGCTCATTTTCTAAGTATCACAACCAATGCTGTGTGTCCTCTGTAAAATGTTTATGAATCACCTGGTCAGAAATGGGCCAGGGATGTAGCTCAGCAGCACAGCACTTGCCTGATAAGCACAAGGCCTTGAGTTCAATTTCCGGTACCAAAAAACAAAACAAAACAAACAAAAAAAGAAAAGTAAATTCACTGTACTTTGTGTACCTAATAGGTTTCTCCTTCCTTCCTTTCCTTTTTTTTTGTTGTTGTTTTTAGGCACTGGGGATTGAACTCTGGACCTTGCACTTGTGAGGCAGGTGGCAGAACCACTGAGCTAAATCCCCAGTTTAGGCTTGAAATCTAAAGCTGCATATCCACAATATACCACAACATTAGTGGGACTCTTTCTTTCTTTTCTTTCTTTCTGTACTTGGAATTAAAATCAGGACCTTGTGCTTGCTAGGCAAGCATGGTGCCACTGAGCTTAATCTCCAGCCCTTAGTGGGAATTAAAAAAAAAAGATTTATAATCTTATTGTCCAACATACTATTTTTCCCCCCAATTCACCTTATCATACCAGATTAATTACCCTAAGACACTGCTTTAGGTGTCTTACTCATTTATTTAGGGTCCTAAAACAATTTTGAGGGATAAATGTTCAAGTCATTTGACAGATACTGAGAACATGTTAAGGGCCAGATAGTAAACTCCTTACCTGACACTCAGGATCTGAGCATTGTCCTCTTACCTCAGCAGCCCTTTCTCTGGCTCAGCGAGACTGGTCTATCTGCCATCTGGAAATGCCATCTACATTTCTGTGTCTGAACTTTTTGTTTCGGAATGAGTCTGTTTCAAATATGTTCTGTCTCCCTTTTAATTTACTTTAATTCAACTCAGGCCTTCCTCCAAAGCCTCTCAGTTTGTTTCTTTCTTTGGTTTTTTTATTCTTGTCTCCACACTACCATAACAAGCCAAACTATATCCTCATCATGTCTTCAGTGTTTCTAGTCACCCCTGATAAAGTCCAAGGTCCGAGGACTTGTTTTAAGGCTAAGATCTAGCCCCATTTTTTATTCCCTGTGTGATTCACCTGGGCGTCACTCCTGTTCCCTAAATACCCACACCCATTACCACATGCTCATGTTTGAGCTATTTAATCATGATTTTTTTTTCTTCTGTCTCCACCACTTATCAGATCTTGCCCATTTTCTTTAATAATTTTTGGTTGTATTCTCTTAGTGATACTTACATTTTGAACAGAAAAATCAATCTGTGGGAGGAGCTTAACTTAAAAATCTTTAAAAATATATATGTAATACATAATACTAATCGAGTACATGTTATATGTATGTATATATATTACACACACACACACACACACACACACATTCATGTTCTTCCAGGTTATTCCTCTTAGGTGGCCAGAATTAAAGACTTAGTATGTGTCCTTCCACACCTTTTCCTTCATCTAACAGGCTTCCCCATCCTAATAGGCTTTGAAGTTCTGCCCCTTTCTCCAACAAAAATGAGGCCATACTGTATACCAGCTATTTTCAAAGTATTGCGTGGACCCTAGGGAAGGGGTCCTGAAGACTTTTTTAGGAGTTTTTGAAGCAAAACCATTTTCATATAATACCAAGAATTGGGTTGACTTTTGCACTAATGGTACAAAGACATGGTGGATATAACTGTCTCCTTACACATGCCCTTGGTATGGAATAGCACCAAACTGTACTGGTTATGTTCTTCATTGCCACACACTTCCAGTTGATGCTAATTTTGCTTAAAACTGCATACTTGATTATGCAGTACAAGTTACACATCTTTTCTAAATAGAAACTAAGCATGAAAGATTTCTGCCACATACTGATGATTAACTCAAGGGAGAGAGCACTTGCATGATTGTTACAGTTGCAAACTGAATAAACTTCTTTTTCATGGTTTTTATGTGAGAGAACCATTGACAAACTGATAATTCAGATGTATCTGTCAGCCGCTTTCCTGAAAATGAAGAAAGTCTGTCATTTCAAGGAAAATCATTAACTGACAGTATTTTTTGTGAGTGATAAAATTCCAAGCCTCAAGCAAAAAAATCAGAAAACTTGTATCTGACACTGAACTTGACAGCGTCCCAATACTTAAAAAAAGACTTTTCTGAAGAGATTTATGAATATGAATTTTTTCTACCGCATACAAGAATACACATTTCAAAATAAGAGTGTAAAGGAGGTCCAGAAGTAAAAAAGTTTGAATACCTCTACACATCCAGCAACTTGCTTTTTTATTTAGCATATTATGAACACTACCCACTGTCAGTATCTAACAGTCTTATTTTTTTGGTACGGAACTAAGGAACTTCTACTTGCAAGGCAGGTGGTGGCACCTGCTAATTCCCTGGCCCACTTAACAGTCTTTTAGCAACAGCATGGTGTTCATCTGTGTGGATGAACCAAATCTATTTGATTATTCACTTTTTTGTTTTTGAGACACAGTTTTGCTATGTAATTCAGGCTGACCTTGAACTCACTATGTAGCACAGGCTGGCCCTTGAATTTGCTGGGATTTTCCTGCCTCCCCTTCCCAAGAGCTGGGATTACTAGTATGGGCCACCATACCCAGGTTTCATTCACTTTTTGATGGCCATTTAAGTTGCTTCTAGCTTCTTTGCTAATTTAATATATAAACAAATGTCCTTACATATATCCTTGTGTGCTGGTGCTTTTATATCTGTAATGTGTGTTCCTAAAAATTGTCTTGTTTTTCAAGGTCCATCTAAATAAAAATTCTCATCTCTATAACATCTATGGTTATTATTTCATCTCCCTGTGGCTATTGTTTTTGGTCCCATTTAAAGTCTTGTTCATTTACTGTCTCTGATGTCCCCTTGTTAATTGCTTCATGGTTTGTTTGTTTATTTGTTTGTTTTTCAGTACTGGGGTTTGAATCCAGGGCTTTTGCACTGAATTACATCTCCTGCTCTTCCTCTTTTTTTTTTTTTTTTGAGACACGGTATCACTATACAATTCAGTCTGTTCATAGGCTAAGCTGGTTTTGAACTCAGTGATCCTTCTTCCTCAGACTCCTGAGTGTTGAGATTACAGACATATACCACCATATCCAGTCCCAGCCCATTTTTATTTTTATTTTGAGATGGAGTCTTGGTAATTTGTCCAGGCAGAGCTCAAATAATTGCCTTGTTTTTTAAAACCATGTCTGTCTTGTCTTGCCAACTAAGTTGTAAAAATAGAAGCTTCAAGCTGGGGCATGGTGACCCATGCCTCTAGTCCCAGCACCTAAGAGGCTGAGGCAGGAGGATGCCATGAGTTTGAGGCTAGCTGGGTTACCTAGTGAGTCCAACACTAGCCTGGACTACACAGCAAAACTGTCTCCGAAGAAGGAAAAAAGAAAAGCTGCTGCTTCCCCCCTCACCATTCTTTTGGTACTGGGGATCAAACTCAGGACCTTGTGCTTGCGAGGCAGGTGGCAGAACCACTGAGCTAAATCCCCAGCCCCCTCCTTTTCTTTTTTTTGAGACAAGGTCTTGCTATGTAGTTTAGTCTGGCCTTGAACTCCCTATGGAGCCCAGGCTGGCCTCGAGCTCACAGCAGTTCTCCTGCCTCAGCCTTCTGAGTGCTAAAATAAATAGAAGCTAGAGGGCAAGGAGGCTATATTATACAGTGTATAGTCACTGAGTAACGATGAGAAAGAGATTGAGGATTGATAATGAGAAAAGATGCCTTAAGAGTTTGTATTTGATGGACATGGGTGCTGAGGGATACTATATACATTTATGTATTCTTCTCCTTGGAAAATGTTAGAAAACAAAGAGCTCTCCAACTTAATTTCTTTCGTTTTAGGCAAGTACATCGCCTCAACACAGCGGCCTGACGGGACCTGGCGCAAGCAGCGGAGGGTGAAAGAAGGCTATGTACCCCAGGAGGAGGTCCCAGTGTGCGTGGTTAGGCTTGAGGGAGGGTATTAAATGGGGTCCCCACGGAAGGATAGAATATGCTTGTCTGCAAGTTCAAGGATGACTCTTCTAAGCCCCAAGGAGAAGGAAGGAAGGGGCTGGGATTCAGGGATGACTTGAAGGTTACATATGTTGTTCCATGATGTCTGTCCATCAGATCTCCAAATAGCAGTCAAAACTGCAGACCTCTGGGTGCTAGGAACCCTCCTACAGCCTCCTGAAGAGTGGAGCAGAGCTGGCGAGGGACCTAAACGAAGGAAGGAAGGAAGGAAGTAGGAGTATGATCAGATTTGGAAGATTAAGAAAAGGATAAAAAAGTCAGTGATTCTTGGAAGTATTGTTTTAACTTTTTTTTGGTACTAAGAATCAAACTCGGGACCTTGTGCTTGCCAGGCGGTGCCACTGAGTTAAATCCCCAGCCCTGAAGTTTTGTTCATATCTTCTGTTTCCTGTAGGTATGAAAACAAGTATGTGAAGTTTTTCAAGAGTAAACCAGAACTTCCTCCAGGGCTGAGCCCTGAGGCCACTGCTCCTGTCACCCCATCCAGACCTGATGGTGGTGAACCAGGCCTCTCCAAGACAGCCAAGCGCAACCTCAAGCGAAAGGAGAAGAGGCGGCAGCAGCAAGAGAAAGGAGAGGTAGAGGCCTTGATTAGGACTCTTGATAAGGTGTCCCTGGGAGAGACAGCCCCACTCTCCAGTGCTCTGCCAGGCTCCCAGGCAGCCCCTACAGCTGCTTCTGACCCGCCTGACTCAGCTGCCACCACTGAGAAAGCCAAGAAGATTAAGAACCTAAAGAAGAAGCTTCGGCAGGTGGAAGAGCTGCAGCAGCGGATCCAGAGTGGGGAGGTCAGCCAGCCCAGCAAAGAGCAACTGGAGAAGCTCGCGAGGAGGAGGGCGCTAGAGGAGGAGCTAGAGGACTTGGAGCTAGGCCTGTGAGGCCTGGGGAGTAGGGAATGGACTGCAGAACAAACTGTGGGGCTCTCTGGGGTCCAGAGGGGTGTGAGTGGCCACAGTCAGGAGGGGCGTCCCCTACCTGCTCACTGCTTCCACTTTTCACGGCCCGCCTCTGTCCTCCAGAGCGTAGCCTCTCCCTCACTCCTTCCCTCCTCTTCCCAGCTCCTATTTTTGGACTTTCTCCTTCCCATTCCCAGCATTCAGAATCTCAGTGACTTCCCCAGATACCTGATCTGGGTATCTTGTTTAAAAGAAAATTGAGTGAGTGGGAAGCTGGGAGAACCAAGGTGGAGGTTGGAGGGGTGCACCCAGTCTTGGAGGAGTCCTGAGTCTTGGTTCCTCTTCACAGTGTTTATGAGTTATTTCCTTGTCTACCCTTAACCTCTTTTTTCTTTTCTTTTTTTTTAAAGAACAAAAATAAACTCAAGTAGACAACATGTATGTCTGACTTTGCCTTTCTTTTCAGCTCCTAGTAGCTTTCCCATGCCCAGCTTTAAATTTTGAGGTAGGGTCTTGCTAAGTCATTAAATTGATCAGGCTGGGCTCTACCTTGCAATCCTCAGTGTGCTGGGATTACAGGCATGCGTCACTACATCTGGCTTTTTTCCCCCTGCTTTGGTACTGGGGATTGAACTCAGTGCCTTATACTCAATAGGAAACTGTCTTACCACTGAGCTGTATCCCTAGTCTAAGAGAGTCTGTCTCTCTCCCTCCTATCTCTCTGTCTCTGTCTATATTTGTCTCATTTTTTGAGACAATGTCTCCTATGTAATCCAGGCTGGCCTGGAACTCACTTGAATTGCCCAGTCTGGCCTCAAACTCATATCCTCCTACCTCAGCCTCTCAAGTGCCTGAATTACAAGTGTGCAGGCATATACCACCAAATCCAGCTGGAGTCTTTCTAAGGACATTAATCCTATGATGAGATCCCACTCTCATGATGTGGTCTAAATTTAATTACGTTCTCAAAGCATTGCCTCCAAATGCCATCATGTTGAGAATGAGGACTTCAGTATTTGTGGGAGGGAGTAAAATTCAGTCCACAGATATCCCATGATATTTTTTGTGTAAACAATATACATTTATGTATATATAAAAATAATTTGTGGGCTGGGGTTTTAGCTCAGCAGTTCCACCGCCTGCCTTGTAAGCGCAAGGACCCGAGTTCCATTCCTGATACCAAAAAAAAAAAAAAAAAAATTTGTATATATAATGTTTTGCCTTTTTTGTTTGTTTTGTTTTGTTTTGAGACAGAGTCTCTCTATGTAATTCAGGCCGGCCTTGAACTCACTATGTAACCCAGGCTGGTCTTGAATTCACAGCAATATCTGCCTTAGCCTCCCAAGTGCTGGGATCACAGGTGCGCACCACCATGCCTGGCTATAATAAGTTTGAAAGTCATTGATTCAACCTATAATGAGCTAAAGCATCACACATGCTTCCTCTTGTCCCTATTTTGGAATGTGCGAGATACAAGGTATTAGTTTAATTACTTCCCCAGTGGTAGCTCATAGTGAAATTAGACTCTGGCTTTATTTTCTATTCCTGAGGCTGTATTACTTTTTATTTGACATTTCTCTTCTTGCATATGATTGCCTTCTTATGTGTAAATAGCAAAGATTCTAGGGGTCTGGGAGAGTTATTTTAGGACTGGCTATTTACAGGGGCTCAGAGCACGTGTTAGTTTCTTACTGTCCACTAGATGGTACTACAAAAGGCCAATGTTTGCAAGTTAGCCTGACCTAGATTCCAACTTGTTTTCAAGATAGCAGATAGGTTGACTGCTAGATTTTCTTTTCTCTCGAGGGCCCCTAGCATTTCAGAAGAAGGTGCCTAGACAGATCTGTCTCTCCAAATATAGCTTAGATAAACAAATTGAAGAGGACAGAGACCAAGAGGGTCTTTAAAATAAAAAACAAAACAAAACAAAACAAAAAACAACCAAAACACAATGGTTTCACTGTATAATTCTGGCTTTCTTGAACTCACTATGTAGCCTAGGCTGGCCATAAACTCACAGTGATCCTCCTGCTTCAGCATCCTGAGTGCTGGGATTATAGACATGTGCCACCACACTGGGCCAGTGAGAGTCTATTTTGGGTACCTGGCATAGCTCAGTGGTATAATGGTAGAGGTAGTTTGCCTAGAATGCTGAGGCTCTGAGTTTGATTCCCAATACTGGAAAAAAAAGGAAGGGGCACTTTTTTTTGGGGGGTCAGAGGATCAAGATTTCTCCTATGAGGGCCGGGGATTTAGCTCCACGTTTCGGTGGCCTGCCTTGCAAGTACAAGGACCCGAGTTCAATCCCGGGTACCAAAAAAAAAAAAAAAAAAAAAATTTCTCCTATGAGATTAAAGATGAACTGAAGTGGAAGGGATAGAAGTTATACTCCAAAACGAATAGCTAGCTGTGTGTGGATAATAGAGTTGGCTAAGAGGAGAGACAGGCAATGTTGAAGGATCTCTTCATTGGTTCTGTAATTTGAATATGTTCCCTAAAGTTCATGCCTTGGAAATTTAATACTCAATGCAAGCAACAGTGTTGCTTGGCATGGTGGCACACAGGCCTGTAATCCTAGCACTCGGAGGCTGAGGCAGGAAGATCACCCTGAGTTTTGAGGGCAGCCTGGGCTACACAGTGAAGTCAAAGCCAGCCTGAACTACATACTGAGACTGTGTCAAAGAACCAAAACAAAACACCCCCAGTGCGACAGTATCAAAGGTGGGACCTTGAAGAGGTAACTAGGTCATGAGGGTTCTGCTTTGATGAATGAATGAATGAATGCTATCACGAGTGGGTTAGTTTCTGAGATAGTGGGTTGCTGAGAAAAATGAGTTTGTACCCCTCTCTCTTGTTTGTTTGTTTTTGAGACTGGCTTGTACTCACAATCCTACCTCAGCCTCCAGAGTTCTGAGATTACAACTCTGCATGCTCCCTACTCTCTCGTGTGTGCCCTCTTGCCTTTCAGCATTCCACATAGATGATGTAGCACGAATGCCCTTAACAGATTTCAACTTCTTGATCTGGATTCCATTGTTTTAAAAACATTTTTTATTAGTGCATAATGATTACATTCATCGTGGGGAATTGGTACGTGTACACAGTACATCTCAATTTTTTTCCTCTTCCCTTCCACCCCTGTTATTTTTAGAATTTTTTAAAACTAGCATCATATTTATTTTAAAAGTTTTTATCAAGTGAATTATCATAAACAGATTAACAGCTAGACTAACAGGCCAAAAACCATAGACAGCACATAAAATAATACTAAAGTACATTTTTAGATATATTGGCTATCCTACTTGGTTGTTTGTATTTTTCAGTACTGGGGAGTGAACCCATGGCCTCCACACCCTAACTATATCCCCAGCCCTTTTTGTTTGTTTTTATTTTGAAACAGGCCTTGCTAAATTGCCCAGGTGGAGCTTGAACTTTTGACCTAGTGTGCTGGGATTAAACTGCTTGTACCACCACACCTGGGTTCTTCTAGCTTTTTGAAATATATAGTACATTGTCATTTTCTATAGTCATCCTCTTGTGTGTACTATCTTACCAGAACTTATTTCTAACTGTAATCTAATATCCATTATTTATTTGCTAATTTTTTAAATAGTCTCTCTCTCTCTTCTTTTAGTCTTGCCTGGTAGTTCAGGCTGGCCTCGAACTCATGGAGATCCTCCTGCCTCAGCCTCTGAGTGCTGGATTACAGACATGTGCCACCACACCTGGCATCTTTCTTTCCTTACTGTATTTATGGTTTGCTTTAAATACTTGAACATATTTATACAGTTTTAAAATCATCTGTTAATTCAATCATAGCTGTCATTTCTAGATTTTTTTTTTTTTTGAGACAGGGTCTCACTGTGTAGTTCAGGCTGGCTTTGAATTCACTGTGTAGCACAAGCTTTAATAGTAGTTTTCCTTCTTTCATGTCATCTTTTTTAGCTTCCAGGTATTAGGGAGAACATGATATTTGTCTTTCTGAATTTGGCTTATTTTGCTCAACATGATGATCTCCAGATCCATCCATTTTCCAGCAAATGACAAAATTTCATTCTTTATGGATGAAAAGTACTCCACTGTTGTAGTCAGGGTTTGCAAGAGAATAGATTTAAGCAGGGACAAGGGGAAAAAATGAGAACCAAGACCTGTCATGTGAAGGTACAGGATCCCAGTAATGAATGTAACTGTACGGCATACCTAGATTATACCAATAAACTCAATTAAAAAAAAAGAAAAAGAATAGATTTAATACAGAACACATAATGTATAGGATTATTTTATAATAGTCACCCAAAAAGTCAAATGCAGAGGAGTGTGAGATCTAGCTGCAGACTAGAAACCCAAAGAAACCACTACAATGTCCCATACAAGTCCAGCTGAAGGCCAAGAGTCCAAGATAGTGTGTCATTCTTTTCCTAATTAAAGGTCTTCACTAGGAAGCTCCAAAGACCAGTGGTGGAAGCCAGAAAACCTATGCCTATGAGCTGAAGGATTTGTGCCACAGGCTGAGGGATCTATACTAGAGCCAGGAAGTGACACTCATGGTAAAGATCAGAGCTCCTGATGAGAACAGCAGCCATTCCCAGCAACACTGAGGCCCTAAGCTCCTCTGACAAGAGCAGCTAAATTCAAGTCAGGAAAGCCAACTGCAGCAAGCTTTAAAAATCAACAGTCCATGATCTTATTTTGTTGTTGTTTTGTTTTTTGGTACCGGGGATTGAATCCGGGACCTTGCGCTTTCGAGGCAGGCAGAGGTACCACTGAGCCAAATCCCTGGCCCCCCAGTGTTCTTTTTATGCCATTGGCAACAATCCTCAGGTGGGTCTTCCACACCCAGACCACGCTGATTCAGTTCAGCTGGGTGTTCCAAGTTGCCTATTAGTTAATCCTGCACATTCTACCCCTGGTCAACTTGGTGATCAGGCACGTATCCTTAAACCTGAGTCTCCAGTGGCAGATTTGTGAAAAGTTAACATATCTTGATCTCTTCAAATTTACATTAATATACACAATTCTCATGGCCCTCACTTGCACATTACAGCTTCAAATCTTAAAACTCTTTTGAGTTTCCATATGTACATAGCACTTAAAAAACAGCCTTATGCCGGGCATGGTGGTGCACGCCTGTAATCCCAGTGCTTGGGAGGCTGAGGCAGGAGGATCACTGTGAGTTGGAGACCAGCCTGGGCTACATAGTGAGTTCCAGGTCAGTCTCAACTATACAGTGAGACCCTGTCTCAAAAAACCAAAAAACAAACAAACAAACAAAACAAAACAAAACACCCTCCAAAACAAAACAGCCTTACATGTATCAACATCATATTATTATATTAAAATAATAATAGGAGAAAAAAAACAAATTATCATCCCTTGGAGCCAGGAGTTTAGCGCAGTGGTTCTGCCACCTGCCTCACAAGCACGAGGTCCCAAGTTCGATCCCCAGTACCAAAAAAAAAAAAATCACAATAGGAGAGAGCTATTAAAATCATAATCCTTGCTTCCCATTAACTTTGATAACAGGTGCAGGCACACTAAAAGTCATCCTAAGGGAATTCCTGCATTCCAGATACACTCTTCCCTTTTGGTAAAGGATTTCAGGTCATTTTTCCATTGTCCTGTTGCTTCTCAACAACCACGTTCTCTGTTTCATCCTTGCTGTCCATACCTCTGCTGGAGCCTCTTCTCTGGCCAAATGCTTCAGATCACCCTGCTGGTCTCTGCTCTTCATTTCCAACATAGATCCTGCCAACTCAGCTGTCACATCCACTATGTATATATATACTACTTTTTGCTGTTGCTGTTCTTTGAGACAGGGTCTTGCTATGTAGTTCAGGCTGGACTTGAACTCACTATGTAGCCCAGGCTGCCCTTGAATTCACAGCGATCCGCCTGCCTCAGCCTCCCTTGTCCTGGGATTACAGGCATGCTCCACCACCCCTAGTTGTTTTTAGTTTTTTGAAGAACCTCCATACTGATTTCCATAGTGGCTCTACTAATTTACATTTCTATCAGCAGTGTAGAAGAGTTCCCTCTTCCCAGCATTTTCACCAGCATTTACTGTCTTCTGTATTCATTTTTGTTTGCTTGCTTTTTGTTTTTTGTTTTGTTTGTTTATTTTTTGATACCAGGGATTGAACTTGGGACCTCGCACTTGGGAGGCAGGAGGCAGCACCACTGAGCTAAATCCCCAGCTCTGCTTTTTGGTTTTTTGAGATAGGGTCTTGCTATGGAGACCAGGCTGGCCTTGAACTCACAGTGATCCTTCTGCCTCAGTCTCCCAAGTGCTGGGATTACAGGTGTGCACCACCATGCCTGGCTATCTTCTGTATTCATGTGTTTTTTTTGTACCAGGATCTAACTTAGGATCTTTCACTTGGCAGGCAGGCATGGGGCTGCTGAGCTACATCCCCAGCCCTGTCTTGCACTTGTGAGCTGTCTTCTGTACTTTTTTTTTTTTTTTTTTTTTTTTTTTTTTTGGTACTGGGGATCAAACTCAGGTCCTTGCGCATACGAGGCAGGTGGCAGCACCACTGAGCGAAATCCCCAGCTCTTTTCCTGGGCACCCCTCAGATGGTAGCCATTCTGATTATGGTGAGATGGAATCTCATGTAGTTTTGATTTGTATTTTTCTAGTGGCTAAGACAGCAAACATTTTCATTTTTGTATATATATTTATGTATATATGCACATATATATATATATATATATATATGTAACTGAGCTACATCCCTCAACCCTTTAAAAAATTTTTTCAGGTGTGGGCCAGGGATTTAGTGCAGTGGTATCATTCCTGTCTTGCAATTACGAGGTCCTGAGTTCAATCCCTGGTACCAAAAAAAAAAATTTTTTTTTTTTTTTTTTTGGTCAGGTGTGGTAATACATGCCTATAAGCCCAGCACTCAGTAAGCTGGGGCAGGTGGGTTGCCATGAGTTCAAGTCCAGCCTGTACTACATAGTGAGACCCTTTCTCAAAAATAAATAAAATTAAAAATTTTTGAGACAAGGTCACCAAAGTGCCCAGGTTGGGCTCTAATTTACAATCCTCCTACTTCAGTCTCCCAGAATGCTGGGATTTCAGGTGTGAGTCACCATGGCTGGCCATTTTTTCATATACTTATTGGTCATTTGTTTTGTTTTTGAGACATGGTCTCTCTTTGTGGTTTACACTGACCTTGAACTTACTATGTAGCCCAGGCCAGTCTCAAACTCATGGTGATCCTCCTGCCTCAGCCTCTCAAGTGCTGAGATTGCAGGCATGTGCCACCATACCCAGCTATACTTCTTTTAAGAAGTATCTGTTCAATTCCTTTGCCCGTTTATTGATTGAACTATGATTTTTTTGGTGTTCAGTTTTTTGAGTTCTTTATATATTCTAGATAGTAACCATCTATTGAAAGAGTAGCTGACATAGATTTTTTTCCCCCATTCTGTATGCAGTCTCTTTATTCTGTTGGTTGTTTTTCTTGCTGTGCAGAAACTTTTTGATTTGATGTAGTACCACTTGTTGATTCTTGCCTTTACTTCCTGAGCTGTAGAGTCCTATTCAGGAAGTCTTTGCCTGTGCCTGTGACTTCATGTTTCCCCTGTGTTTTCTTTCAGCAGTTCAAAGTTTCAGGTCTTATGCCTAGATCTTTGATCCATTTTGAGCTTATTTTTGTATAGGATGAGAGATAAGGATCTAGTTTCAATTGTCTGCAAGTGGGAATTCAATTTTCCCAGCTCCATTTATTAGAGTCTGTCTTTTCTCCAACATATAACTTTGGCTCCTTTGTCCAGAATCGAATGGCTGTTGTTGTGTGTTTGTTTCTTTACCCTCTATTTTTGTGCCAGCACCAAGCTCTTTTTGTTACTATGGTTTGTAGTATAATTTGAAATCTGGTATTGTCAATACCCATAATGCCTTGAGGCTTGCTCCCCCCGTTCCCCCAGCTTGTTGTTTTTGCTCAGGATTGCTTTGACTATTTTAGGTCTTTTGTATTTCCAAATGATTTAAAAAACATTTTTTTTTTTTGAGACAGGGTCTAGTTCTGTAAAGAATGTCGTTGAAATTTTGATGGAGATTGCATTGAATCTGTAATGTGCTTTTGTTAATATAGCCATTTCAACAGCATTAATTTTATCAATCCATGAACACAGGAAGTCTTTTCATCTTCTACGGTCTTCTTCAATTTCTTTCTTCAGTGTTCTGAAATTTTCACTGTAGAGATCTTTCACTCCCTTGGCTAGTTTGACGCTTGGGATTTTCAGAAAAGCTGTTGTGAATGGAGTTTCTTTCTTAGCTAGTCCACTTAAACTATTGATCTTTCAATGTTGATTTCATATCCTGCCACTTTGCTGAATTTATCAGCTCTGCAAGTTTTGGTGGAGTCTTTTTGGGGAGGTTATCAGACCTTGCACTTGCCAGGCAGGCATGGTACCACTCAGTTAAATCCCTAGCCCTTTTGATGGAGTCTAGGGTTTGCTAAATATAGGATGAGCCGGGTGTGGTGGCATATGCCTGCAATCCCAGCACTAGATCCCAGCCTGTAATCACAGGCTGAGGCAGGAGGATTGCTTCGAGTTTAAAGCCAGCCTGGACTACATAGCAAGACCCTGTCTCTAAATCAATCAATCAATAAGTAAAGGATACCATCTGTGAAGAAAGATAGTTTGACTTATAGTCTTTTCCGATTTGTATCCCATTTACTGTATCACTCCCTCTTGCCTAATTGTTTTAGGTAACATTTCAAGTACATTGAATAGGAATGGTGGGGTTTTAAGTTTTTCTATTCTCGTATTTTATTTTTAAATTTTATTTTGATACAGAGTCTCCCTTTGTAGTCCAAGCTGTTCTTGAACGATGTAGCCCAGGCTGGCCTGGAACTCATGGCAGTCCTCCTGCCTTAGGTTCTCAAGTACCAGGTTCGCAGGCTTCATTCATTTTATAATTCCCTAGCCTTTGTTCTTTATCTGGTAATTGATTTTTGTCCACTTTTATAGTCTCACTTCTCATTCACGCTATGCAGCCTATCGCTCAGCCAAAGACTCACAGGACCTCTCTGAAAACCTGTAGAGCTATTCCTTTGTATAGCTCCTTTCCTCCAGTACTCTTGTTCCCCAAACTCTGATCTTTGTCCTCTCAACTCAGCATACCACTACTCTCTGCTTGTGTTTCCCTTTCCTGTGCTGTCGTCTGGAAAGTATCTCTAGGAAGTTAGTTGGAATAATTAAAAGGCTCACCTTATTTGTTTCCTTTTCTCAGAGGTCACAATTCTGTGCTTCCTTTTGCTCAATATCTGAAAATAAGTTGTCTGATATGAGTTGTATACTTGTTTTTTTTTAGTACCAGGGCTTGAACTCAGGAGCTTGTGCTTGCAAGGTAGGCACAGTGCCACTTTCAATTTTTTTTTAATGGTGGGAGGGCTCATCACATACTAGTTATTTTGTCTCACACACACACACACACACACACACACACACACTCGCACACGATATATATCAGGAATTTAGCTCAGTGTGGTTCATCTGCCTGCCTTGCAAGTGCAAGGTCCCAAGTTTGATTCCCTGTACAAAACCAAACCTCACCAAACAAAAGAAACCTATAGCCAAAAATGTAAACAACTCAAGTATTCATGAATAGATCAGTGGTTAAACTGGGTGTGGTGGTACATATCTGTAATCCCAGCATTTGGGAGGCTGAGGCAGGAGGATTGCCGTGAGTTCAAGGCCAGCCGGGCTACATAGTGAAACCCTATCTCAAAAAAGAAAAAAAAAAAAGCTTAAGATTTTGTTACTGTTTTGGTACTGGGGATCGAACATAAGGCTTTGTGAATGATCACCAAGTGCTCTACCACTGAGTTAACCTCAGCTCTCTGGGGATTGAACTTGGGTCCTTGCGCTTGCAAGGCAGGCCACTGAACCGCTGAGCTGAATCCCCAGCCTTCAGCCCTCTTTTCTATAATTTTGATGTTTTAAATTTTTTACAATAAACATTCATTATTTAAATTTAAAAGTACAAGAGAGATTATTTAAAAATATTTTGTTCATCCGTTAGAGCTCAGCTGATAATAGTGAACTGTTTTTAGAGTCTTTGAACTGAAGTTAGTATCTTCCCTATCCACATTTTATATGGAGTTTTCTTTGTTGAAATTGTTTCTGAGCTTGCCCCAGCTCCCCTGCTGAGCATCAGTGAGACTGACCCATTGCCTACATCCGGGCTATCGTTATTTCAGCTGGATTTGATTCACAGTCTGTGACTCAGGCCAGAACACTCGGGTCCTGGGGTGACTTTCTTTCTTTCTTTCAATACGGAAGGCTTCATGAATTTGCGTGTCATCCTTGTGCAGGGACCATGCTAATCTCTGTATCATTCCAATGTTAGTACATGTGCTGCCGAAGCAAGCACTGGGGTGACTTATTTCTTTTCTTTTGTTTTTTAGGGGTCCTGGGATTGAACTCTAGTCCTTGTGCTTGTGAGGCAGGCAGTGGAACCACTGAGCTAAATCCCTGGCCCCTGGGTGACTTCTTTTTTTCTGTTTTTTCGTTTTTGTTTTTTTTGAGACAGGGTCTCACTGTGTAGTTGAAACTGACCTGGAACTCACTATGTAGTCCAGGCTGGTCTCGAACTCACAGCGATCCTTCTGCCTCAGCCTCCCGAGTGCTGGGATTACAGGCGTGCGCCACCACCACTCCCAGCTCCCCCGGGGTGATTTATTTCTAACGCTAATAATACTTGAGTGAATTTTTTTGGTACGGGGGTTTGAATTCAGGTCCTTGCGCTTGCAAGGCAGGCCACCGAACCGCTGAGCTAAATCCCGGGCCCCTTGAGTGAATTTTTTTAACTCAGGATTTACAAACAAAGGAAGTTACTGAGAGAATAACACTAGTATAAACTACTTATATAATCATAAAGCAATTAATGTAGACACAAGTAGCACTCATTTCAGGTGTGGTTTTGTTTACTCCAACTCCCTTCTGCCTAGAGTTTTTCTTCTTGGGTGGCAAACTTGTAATTGGATTGTGAAAACTATCATATCTCATAACAATATTGGAGAGAGTAATGTGCCTGCCATAACACTCCTAAAACACTGAAACACAGTAGTAAATTCAATGAATTATTCCTGTAGGACGGTCCTCTACATGGGAGTAAAAATAAGACATCTTAATTATGTCCAAATCCTTGAGTCCTTCTATTTAGTACATAATGTAATACAATATAAAAGTTTGTTGAATGCATCTAGTCCCTAGGGTTTGAATCAAACCACCTGGTTTCAAATCTCAGTTCTTCGTGCCCTAGGCAAAACACTTCATTTCTCTGAATATTACTCTTCTTCACTATAAACATGAAAATGATGATAAAACTTAACATGTTATGAGAATGAAATGAGATCATGAATATGGAGGCACTTTATAAACTCTAAACTGTCCTATGGTAAATTAGATGTGATAATGAAGATTTGAAATAAAGAGAGCTGATGGTGGCCGGGAGTGGTGGTGCATGCCTGTAATCCCAGCACTCGGGAGTCTGAGGCAGGAGGATCACTGTGAGTTCAAGACCAGCCTGAGCAACAAAGAGTGTTCCAGGTCAGTCTTGACTACATAGTGAGACCCTGTCTCAAAAAACAAAAAATAAAAAACAAAAAACAAAAACAAAAAAAGAGAGAGAGAGCTGATGGTAAAAATCATGGACTAGCCAGAAGATATAATACTCAGGTATATATTTTCCAAGAGACCTGAACAAGATGGTATTTATTTATTTATTTGTTTTCTTGGTGTCTTTGCCATAGCCACAGTGTTGACAGTATTAGTGTTGCAAAAGATGGTATTTATTTATTTGTTTTCTTGGTGTCTTTGCCATAGCCACAGTGTTGACAGTATTAGTGTTGCTGCAGGAGTAGACATCTGATTTTGTAGGCATGGAGAGAAGATCCAACTCTGAATGTCTGGGATAGAAAGCACTTTGTTCCCCATCTCTTAATGTCCTGAAATATCCATTTCATTGCAAAGAAAGAAATCAAATTAAGGGATAAGCACAGGAAGATGTCATATCTAATTTTGCTAAGTCCTGAGAGAACATCACAATGTAGCAAAAACATATGTTCAATTTTTCAAAATAAAATTTTGATATTTTGATATGAAAAATACAGGATATTTGTACAAGGATGACTAGTTTAAATTGTAAATAAAGATTGACAAACTATGAGATTTTATTAAAAAAAGAAATGAAAACCATGCAATATTTAACCTTCTGTGTCTGATTTTTTTCACAGCATTATGGTCTCAAGATGTACTCAACCAAATGTCTCTAATTTTTTTTAGAATGACAATTTTTATTCGAAAACATATTTCCAAGTGCATAAAACAAGGATATATGTTAAAGATGCTTAAAATTTTCTCACTTTTTTGTGGTGGGGATTATTTTTGAGACAGGGTCTTGCTGTGTAGTTTGGGCTGGGTTTGAACTCGCTATGTTGCCCAGGCTGGCCTTGAATTTGCAGTGACCCTTCTGCCTCAGCTTCCCTTGTGCTGGGATTAAGGACATGTGCCATCATGCCCAGCATAAAAATTGATCGCTTTTTCTGTGAAAGCTAAATATACATTTATCCTACAACCCAACTGTTCTATTGTTAGGGATATTCTGAAGAAAAATGAAAACATATAGTTCCAAAAGGACACAGGCATTCATAGCAGCTCTGTTCATAATAGCCCCGAAGAAAAAAGTATCTATCCATCAAAAACTGAATGGATGGGCCAAGGATTTAGCTCAGTTGTGCTGCTCCTGCCTCACAAGCACAAGGTCCTGAGTTTAATTCCTGGTACCAAACAACAACAACAACAACAAAATGAATGGATGAATGCATAATACCATATTCATATTGTGGAGATAACTAGAAATGAATCAATTACTAGATTATATAACAAAATAAATAAAGCTCATAAATATTATCTTGAAACAAGCCAGACACAAAAAGCATTACAGTTCACGGAGCTCTGTGGCATGGAGCAAAAGGATGAAAGATTGCTCAGAGTCAATATGCAATCCATCTTTCCAGGGGGTCCAGAGAGGCTGCCATTAACTGTGAGAGAGTCTGATAAGGACGGCCCCAAATTGAAGCCTCTGTGGCTATTGATAGTACCAGGAAGCAAGGATAAAAGAGTAATGAAGGGTTTCTGGGCAGGAACTCACATACGGGACAGGGGAAGGTCAGGGTGGTCTGTTAAAAGACTGACCTTTGCCAATCTAAATGATAAATTGGAGTATGGGAGAGGACAAAGGCCAGAGCATTCATTCCTTAAAACAATGTGTTTGTTTCTACTTGGACTGGTGGCCCTGTAGGTCATTTTAAATGTCTACTATGCATTCTAGGAGGTTTGGGGGATGTGGCTCCAAAAGTCCCTTACCTCTGCATATCCATCATACACACCTCTTGCCAGTGCCCCCACAAAAAGGTCTATTGTATGGTTGTATTTGTTTGTTTATTATTTTATTGTTTTTCTGAGCCACGGTCAGAATATATATGGTCCTGGTTCTACTCAAACTCTCCATCCTACTGCTTCAGCCTCCCGAGCGCTGGAACTATGGGCACGCAACACCACATCCATCATGTATAGTTGCACTTATATGAAGTTCAACAACAAGCAAAATCACAAGTTTTTTGTTGTTGTTGTTGTTTGTTCTGCAGTACTGGGGATTGAACTCAGGACCTTGTGCTTGCAAGGCAGGGTTGGCCCCACTGAGCTAAATCCTTGGCCAAAATGACAAGATTTTATGGATAGAAAAATAGAATACCTTTGATGGGGTACAGACTGGGAAAGAACATATAGAACAATTATGAAATGCCTGAAACAGCCCATATTTTGAACTGAGTGATAGTTTTATCAGTTAATACATAGATTTAAAAATTCAAGCTTTTAAAATAAGGTTAGTGTACTTTATATATTTTATTATATGTATATTATCCTTCAATTTAATAATGTACTGAAAATATGTACTAATAAAAGCCCCCAAAAATCTGCTAACCAAATTTTGTGTTAAGCACAAACAATCTACAATGGAAAAGGAGACCTGAGACATCCAGAGTCAGGTCCCCCACAGAACTTCTTTCAGCAATGCTTGGAACTCCATAGCAGTGCAGTCAGGAGTCAGCAAAATGTTGGGCCAGTGAGGCACTTGAAGATGGAAGGCTTGAAGATTTAACATTCCACCTGGGAAGTTATGGCTTAAGACATATACTCTTTTGGAGCTAAGAGGAGACAATAACCCCAAATTAGCTTAGATTCCCAAGCAGACTAATTTTAGGCCCTGCATGGCTGAACTCTCTCCAAACCAATTAAAAGGACCCCTACTGGGCATGGTGGCACATGCCTGTAATCCCAGCACTCAGGAGATTGAGGCAGGAGGATCACTGTGAGATTGAGACCAGCCTGGGCTACATAGTGAGTTCCAGAGCAGTCTGAACTACATAGTGAGACCCTGTCTCAACCTCCGCCCCCCAAAAAAGAAAAAGGACCCCAAAGGGCATGGGTAAATTCCTGAACACTGTGATTTCACTCTGTCTTCTATGTTTTAGCCTTCTGAAAAAGATGTGTCAGTTTTTCCTAAATTTACAGTAAGCAGGGTCTGATGTGCCTCTGGAGGTTGAGAGCATAAGATAGCACTTTGGAAATTCCTTCTGATTTGACAACACTATTTAGATTTAGATTTTGTTTTTTTTTCTTTTTTACCTCTTTTACCTCTTACCCAAGAACAGACATGGTGGCAATCACATAAGGGTGTTCTAGGATGCCTGTTGCTTTTTTCACCTGGGATGCTGATTACAATTAAAAACCACAGGATAAGAAGAAAAAAGATGTGAAGATCATGCTATTCACCAAAATATGATGCTGAATATCATGCTATTCACTGTGTGTGGCTCCAAAAGTCTACTTTTCTGGGAAGTGTGACAGTAACCCTGTGAGGTCATCCTCTGAGTTTGCAGGACCAGATCCATTGCCCAGAAGAAGTTAATATAAAGAAGGACAACATATGTCACAAAATGAACACAATGAGATAAAGTCCAGGGGCCAGCACAGTCCTACCATATATATATGTATATATATTTGTTTGTTTTCTTTTGAGACAGGGTCTCACTGTGTAGTTGAGACTGACCTGGAACTCACTATGTAGCCCAGGCTGGTCTCGAACTCACAGTGATCCTCCTGCCTCAGCCTCTCAAGTGCTGGGATTACAGGCGTGTACCACCATGCCTGGCTAGGATAAAATTTTAATGTAAAATCACATGCTGGTATGGGAGGGCAGGTTATTGCTTTACTATTTCTTTTCTTTCTCCTTGCCTGCATTTAATTATCAATGAGCACACAAGGCCTTAGAAAGAGATTAGAAAGAAAAGGGAAGGAAGAGAAAGCACTGGGTGAGCCCCTCTAAGATTTGGTGTCCAGGCACTGGAATATAGCAATATGAGGAAGAGAAGAAGGGAAGTGGCTCCCCTGGACTCAATAAGGATCTCGAATGAGAACTGAAGCTCACAGGGAGAATGAAAACTTCAACACAGAAGAAGGAGGTGGCAAGTGACACTTTCTCCCCGAGCCCTGACTCACTCCAAGGGAAGGGTGGTTCGAACCTGCAGACACACAATGACTACTGGTGACCCTAGAGTCCTCTGTGGAAAAGCACACCAGTGGAACAGAGTGGACTGCAGTGGACTCAGTGGACTGCAGTGGATAGTGAGTTAGGTTCACAAGTCCCCCAGGAGAGGGCAGTGGGCTGGTAGCCCTCTTGAAGGGCCAGTTGAGCTTGGAACTCAGCAGCTGTGGGCTGTCTTCATCAGGGTGAAGCAGAACCCAGTTCAAATTGGCATAAGGTCAAGGAGCCAAGCTCAAGCCAGTAGGAGACACAGAGTATTGCAGGCTGAACAAATTAGGTTCCAGCCTCACAGAAACCAGCCTGCACTTCAGAACTAGAGGTGCAGGCTTGCTGGGATTATTCACTACCTAGTAATCTATGGCCAGCTTGCTGGGACTAATCAACATGGACCTGGGCTCTGTGTGCCCAGTTTGTCTGCCAGTGACAGCAGAAATGCCTTGAAGTGGACATTTTTTTGGTTCTTATTTTCCTCCTTTTCTTGTTTTTACTTTGTTTTCTTTTTTCTTGATCTTGTTTTTATATAAGTGTGAACATTGTTTCTAGTTTTTGTTGTCATTGTTCTGATATGTTCCTATTTTTATTTCTTCCTTCTCTTTCTTTCCTACTTCTTTACCAGTTCCCCAAAGTTTGTGTAATCTTCCTTTGTCCTTCAGCCTTGCTTTGAATCTCTTCCCTTTTTTCTATTTCTCTATTTTTCTCCACTAACTCCTTTCGAAATGTCTCCTCTGAAGGTAAAATTGCCATGCTGAGGGAATATTTACCGTGTACAATTTTCTAATTTGTTTTAGATTTTGTTATATAACCACAAATCTGGTTCATATGGTTAAAGATGGCAAATCAATAGTTACCACTATTTGTCATTTTCTAGGCTCTGTTCAAAGCTATTGTTATTGCTGATTGTACTACTTTAGCCAAGGTGACATAATTGTTCTAACCAGTTATTCTTCCTGGTACACCAAGACTGAGATTGCCTAAGGGTCATAAACAATACTATAGACTAAAAAACAAAAACAGAAACAAACAAACAAAACCCTTATAGACGAGTACCAAAGAACCAGGGGCTAGGCCAAATAGGCAGCAACTTCTCATTCCCAATAAATTGAAGAGATAGGATCTTGTAACAGACTCAAAACCTGAAAGCAAGCTATGCCTGGAAGGAATCTCTGAGAAGTAGTCATTCCTAAGGGTTCTAAATACTAGAAATACAGAAAAGCAAAACAAAACAAAAAAAACCAAACCCAAAACAAAAAACAACTACTTGTCATATGAAATTTACAATAATCAATCCAGGAATTAAATTTTAAAAAGAAAAGAAAAAAAAAAGGAGAAGACACTTAAGCAAGATAGAGCCCCAAACTTCCAACTCACCAAAGGTAAGCCCAGGGAGCGATGAGATGAAACAATTGGAAACCTATCCACCTGGACTCTTTGAAGTGGTAACAGTAGAAATAACAAAGCAGATGAATGAGGCTCTAGAAAAAATCAAATCAGAAATAGTTTCTTGGGAAACTACAGAGATGATGACCATAATGAAAGCCATGATTAGTGACTGTAGAGCAGATACAGATTTAAAAAAAATAAAAGAGGAGCCCAGGAAAATGCTAGATACCATGAATGCCCAACATAGGGAAGAAACAGATTCAAACAGATATCCAGGAGATTAAAAATTCCATTGAAAGTATCTGCAGCAGAATGAGCCAATGTGAGGTTAGAATATCAGATATAGAAGATAGGATTACAGTTAGTGACTGTGAAAAGAAAGATCTCTTCAAATAACAAGGGACCACAAAAAATCAATCCAACAGCTCTTAGATGATGCAAAGAAGAATAATATAAGATTGATTGGAATCAATGAAAAAGTGGGAGATGGTGCAAATGACATAAAAAAACCCATTCACAGAAGTAATGGCAGAAAACTCCCCAAGCAGGGAAAAAGAATTTGAGATACAGATGAGTAAGGCATGTAGAATTCCAATTAGCCATAATAATTTAAAAAAAAACTACATCAAGGCATATAATAGTCAAGATTCCAGAAATTCATCACAATAACAGAATATTAAAAGCTATTTGAGAAAAGAAACAAATAGCCTATCAGAAAGCCCATAAATCAGCATTTCAAAATGTTCTGAAGGACATTCTAGACTACAACTCCATGAACCCCAATAGAATGAATCCACTAGGCAAGGAAAGCAATTCAATATGTGTGGGGGAGCCAACAACACGAAAATAACATTACAAAGATAAGTCAATATATATCAGTTAGGCTTTCCACATGTTGAAGATTGAAACCAGTTTGATATCTTTCACCACACACTAACCTAAAATTGAAATGGATAAAAATCTAAATATTAAAGCAAAAACATTAAATCTTCTGGAAGAGAGAATAGGTAGAATGCTTGAGGATATAGGCAAAGACTTCATGAACAAAACCCAGATCACATGGGAAATACTACAAGGAATCAACAACTAGGACTTCATCTTATTTAATAGTTTTTGGACCATAAGTGAAACCACCAACAGAGTGAAGAGACAAGCCACAGCATGGGAAAAACTTTGCCAGCTATTCCTCAGACAGAGGACTACTATCTAGAATATGAAGGGAACTAAAAAAATCAGACCACCAAATTTAAAGACCCAATCCAAAAATGGGCACCTGAAATAAACATGCACTTCTCAGATGAAGAAGTAGAAATAGCAAATAAATATATGAAAAAATGTTCAATATCCCTGGTCATTTGAGTGGTGTAAATTAAAACAATGCTGAGATTCCATCTCACTCCAGAAAGAATGGCTATTATAAAGAAATCAACCAACAAGAAATTCTGGCATGCTGTTGGGAAAAAGGAACACTTCTCCACTGTTGGTAAGAGTGTAGACTGGTGCAACCACCATGGAAATAAGTCTAGAGATTCCTCAAAAAACTAAAACTGGGCTGGGGATTTGGCTCAGTGGTTCCGCTGCTAGCCTTGCAAAGTGCAAGGACCCAAGTTTGATCCCCAGTACCGAAATAGACAAAACAAAACAAAACAATGCCCCCAAAACTAAAACTATGGGTTCCATTCAACCCAGCTATTCCCCTCTTGGTATCTTCCTAAAAGAATTTTTAAAAATCACACCATAATTTATGCACACTCATGTTTATAGCCTAATACAATGGCTTACTACTGTACTAAATAGTACAATGGATTACTACTCCTAAAGAAGGATAGGCTCGAGATATTTCTAGGTAAATGGATGCACCTTGAGACCATACTTAAGTGAGATAAATCAGACACACATGTTTAAATATCTCATTGTTTCTCTGGTGTGAGAAACTGAGAGTGGAAATAAGAACCAAAATGTACAATAGATATTGGGAAATGGGAAGAAAATGTTCAAATGAGGAGAACAAGGGAGGGGGAAGAGGAATAAAAAAGAGAACAAGGAAGAAAAGAGAATGAAAGGAAAAAAGAGTACTATGCAAGCTAAAAGTTTGATTTTACTGTTGTTTGTGTACCTGAATATGCTTGGTCAGTAAGTGCCTTTGTTTCTGTTGATGAGACAAAATACCTGACACCTAAATTTAAAGGAGGAGAAGTTTATTGCAGCTCACAGTTCATAGAAGTTTCAGTTCATAGCCAGGTGGTTCCAAGGCAAGGTGGCATAGCAGAGGGGCACTGAAGAAGAGAAATAGTTCATGGTGTGGAAAGCCAAAGGCAGCAAGTAGCAAGCAACGCATTTCAGATTCAGCCACCTTTGAAAAAGACTGCATGAGGCTTTCGAGGGGCATCTGGACGCAAGCCACAACCTTTCACCCAGCCCCACAAAGACTCATGCACATTCCTATATGCAAAAGGCAATCCATCTCAAAGAGTTGCCAAAGTCCTAAAAGTTTCAGCATTGCTGAAAGTCTAAAGTCTTCTCTGAGATTTAAGTAAATTGTTAGCTGCAAGCCCCTGTACAAATGAAAAGAAAGTTAAATGCTTTCAACATCCAATGGCACAAGATAGACTTTTCCATTCCAAAGGTTACAAACAGGGGGGATGCAAAGGAATGGAACCAAAGCAAGTCCAAAATCCAGGACAGCAAACATTAAATCCCACAGTTCCACTTTCATCATCCTCAGAAATCTGTGGCAATTGTAACCTCCAAAGAGCTTGGGTGGCTCTTCCCTTAGGGTACTTCTGGTGGTTGTAGCTCCCAAGGCTTCTCTTTTGGGGGTGATTCTGCTTCCTCTTTACAGTTTTCCTGAGGCAATGCACAATACTGGCTTCTCCAAACTTTTGGGATTTCCATTGCACCTTTGGCTTCACACTCACAGCTTCACACACTGCCCTCTCAGGGACACACTGCCTGGCCTACCAGGCCTTCTTCTGAAATCTGGGTGAAAGCCTTTCTAACCCTACAACTCTTCCATTCTGCATGCATGCAGATGATGCCAACGTCTGCTGCCAGCTGGAGCAGTAGCTAGCCTTCCCTCTCTCTTGGCTGTAGGGGTAAAGTGCCTGGATCACTCAACACTCTGAATCCAATTCCAAGGAACAAATTCTCTAGGCTGCTGCCGCCATTCTGGAACATGGTGCAGCTGCTGCCATTCTGAAAATGGTGTTCTGGGATTCTCTCTTCAAAGCAAAGTGTTTCACTTTTGCAATTTTGAGGCTACAAAGTGTGGAATCCTGATGCTTCTTGTGAGGACCTCAGGCCGTCTTTTCTATTTTTCTGTTCCTTCTTAACAATCAAGATCTCTGCTCTATCTTTGCAGGTCTCAACTTTACTGGAGCTTCCTTTCTGGCCAAACTCAAAACATTTTAAATCATTCTGCTGGGCTCTTTGCTCTTGATTCTCAACATAAATCTGGCTAAAAGCCACCAATAGTAGCCATGCCACTGCTTCAACATTAGACTGTCTTGAAATTTCTTCTGCCAAATTAGTCTGCTGTTCTTAATTGCAGTCTCAGGCAAAGTCTCTGGATATGATCAAAATGCAGGCAAATTTTTTGCGAAGGCATAACACACATCATCTGGTGTCCAATAGCCAATGCCATCCTTCTTCCCAACAGAAACATCAGGAACCTGGTCTTTACCAGCTTTCTGAGCTCTGAGCAGAATCTCCCATATAGTACAGTCTAAGGTGCTCCAGTTCTACTTCTTTAGCCAGCATCTCTGCATCTTTCCAAACTCTTCCCCTTCCCACAAGCCATCCAAAAGCTCGTGAGTCACATGGCCAGGTAATGTCACAGCAATGACCCCACTCCTGGTACCAAATTCCTGTGTTGGTTACTTTTCTCTCATTGGTGAGACAAAATACTTGACATCCAAAGTTAAAGGGGAAAAGTTTATTTGGCTTACAGTTTGTAGAGGTTTCAGTCCATGATCGGCTGGATCCAAGGCAGGGATGGCAAACAGACATCACAGAGGAGAAGAAACATGGGGTGCACAAAAGCAAAAACAACAGGGGACTTTTAACAGCATCTTTCTGTCTTTTTTATCCCATCCATACTACTGGGATTAGGGTGGTGCCAAATCAATTACATGAATGGTTTTGTAATCACATGCCCCTAACCCCATTATCACACATTTCAGATTCAGCCACCTCCTAAAAAGACTGCATGAGGCTTTGGGGGGACCTCTAGACACAAGCCATGACAGCACATTTACTTAATCCCAGCATCACACCTTGAATCCCAGTGGCACACCCTTAATCCCACATCATATTCTTTTTTTGGTTCTGGGAATTGAACTCAGGACCTTGTGCTTGCAAGGCAGGTGGTGGAACCACTGAGCTAAATCCCCATTCCCCACATCATATTCTTAATCCACATTCTCACAACCTAATCCAGCCACCTTTGAAACTCCCCAACTGTGAGGGGATATTTAGATATAAACTATAATATTCTTTTCTGTCTTTTTGGTACTAGGGATTGAACTTGGGACCTTGTGCTTGTGAGGCAGGCAGCACCACTGAACTAAATCCTTGGCCCTAAACTATAATATTCTTTAAAGGAAGAAGTTTCATTTTATGTTTTGCATCCCAGTACATAAATTCCTGGTGCCGTATTGCTCTATGTGTCTTGGGTATAAGACGTGCATATGTAAGAGAATTTGGGTTATAAATCCATAGAATAAAGCATATTTCTGGAGCACAAATGCATTTGTTTGTTTGTTTGTTTGTTTGGTGGCACTAGGGATTGAACCCAGAGCCTTTGCATGCTAGGCAAATGCTCTACCACTGAGATATATCTTTTGTCTTTATTGTTTTTACTTTTGGGGACAGGATCCCACTGAGGTGGCCAGGCTAGCCTAAAACTTGTGATCCTCCTGTCTCAGTCTTTGCAGAAGCCGAGATTATAGGTATCAGTCACTATGTCTTACTCCAGTGTATCAATCTTACTAGAATCTTTTCTGAACGAAAAAAAAATTAACCTGTTGACTCATGTAAGGTTTTGTCATACGTGTGAATTTTAAAGATTAAGACTAATGGGTGGATCTTGAGACCACACTCTTAAATGAAATAAACCAGACACACATGTTTAAATACCACATTGTTTCTCTGATATGAGAAATCAAAAGTGGAAATAAAGACTGAAATGTATAATGGATATTGGGTAATGGGAAGAAAGTGTTCTAATGGGAAAAGGAACAAGGGAGAGGGGAGAGAAAAGAAGGAAGGGACAAGAAAAAAGTAAAAATAGAAGGAAAGAATGGAAACAAAGTCTTTATACATAGGAAGCGGGGGCTTGAGGGGAGAATGGGAGAAAAAAAAAGTCTGAGGTAGGAAGATCATAAATCTGAGGTCAGCCTGGGGAGTTTAGTGAATTAACAAGACACGGTCCTGAAATAAAACCATAAAAGGCCTGGAGACATAGCTCAGGGCTCTCTGAGTTCAATCCCCAGTACTGGAGAAAAGATTCTGAGAATATAGTCTTCCTTAGGATCAAAGGTCCTCTTACTTTGTTATCTTTTCCTATGTCCCATTTCAAAAATTTATTTCATAGCTAGTGAGTGTGTGTGTGTGTTCATTATTAAAAAGTTTCACATAGCTCATATTCAAACTGAAATTGTGCCTTTTTAGCATTTCAGTATCCTTTAGGTCTATCTTCCTCACTATGTTCAGTATATACTTTTACAGAGCACAAGCCCTTCTCCCACTGGCGAATTAATGAATCCAATTAAAAATCACCCAAAAGAACATTACCAAAGACCCTCTTCCTTCATCACTGAGCAACAAAATGGTACCAAAATGGACCCCTCCCTATATTCATCCCCCATCAAGGACCCCACTACCCTCTGGGCAGCCTTACCTCCCAACAGCTCTCTCTGCAGTTTCTGGACAGGCAGAGAAGGAGAGCTAGGTTTTACCCCAGGTCTCCCCAGTAGATACTACCTTCTTCAAAATGGGAAGTCGATGCTGGCCCTTGCCCTGACAACTCCTTATCAAGGTCTTTGTCAACAGAAAGGGGAGCCAAGCCCAGATTTTTCCAGGCCCTTTAAACTTCCCAAACATTAGGATAGTTCTGTTTCCTGAGGTCACAGTGTGTGGACAGGAGGCCAAAGTTCTCTCCCCCATCTCACCCTGCTTGGTAAAAGCAATAAAAATCATTAAAAAATTAAATGGCTGCCATTTCAGAAGAAGCAAACCCTCTTGTGCTATCATTATTTCCCTTTTATCCCTGTATCCAAGAGTGGCCAAGAAAACACTGAAACTCCTCTCGCCTTGTTCCAAGGCTAGAATTTATTCTTTCATGCAATAAGTACTGTGTTGCGTAATAAGACCCCCAGAAGAGTCTTCTATCAGTTTCTGTGATCATTCTGTGGGAAAACCCCTTTTTCAATAAATTGGAATAGAGGAGCAGATGTTGGTCTCTCTCATATTTTGGTAGGAACTGAAGAAGTTCAAGACTTGGGTCTGATGTCCTCTCTGTTGTTTTTGGTATTGGGGATCGAACTCAGGCCCTTGAGCTTGTGAGGCAGGTGGTGGAACCACTGAGCCAAATCCCCAGCCCAGATATCCTCTCTGTTGAACTGATTCAGGTCAGGGCTGGAGTAGGTGAGTGTGAGCTCAGCAGTGGATAGGTGGGAATGCCAGAAAGTGTGCACAGGGCAGGGGCTGCTAAGGAAGTGTGGGCATCTTGGGAACAGAGCTCAGTGGATCCATTCCAGAGTCATCCAAGTCCCTCCCACTTGCTTGGTCACTAACCAGTTCCAGCTGTGCACAGTTCTTGCCATCACTTCCCATATGGTCTCTAGGAACTTATGACTAATTAAATGAGTGTGTGATTGTGTGTTGTGTGTATCCTTAAAAACAGAAGTTTCTAGGGTAACAGCTGGGAAGGCAAGAAAAGCTCCTTCTCTCCTGATCCCTTCAGGCATCTGAAGGCGACCTTTTTCTCTACATCAATGGCATGGTCTGGGCCAGACTTAACTTGTTTCAAACATGTTTTTTACCCCTCTACTTCTCAGTTTCAGACCTGTACATACCAGGATGTCTAGCCCTGCCTACCTCAGCTGGGTAAGGGTGCTTGTGTGTGGGTTGGGTGATAGGTGATGGTGAAGAGAGTGGTGTTTCCTAAACCTAGAAACCGTGCACACTTTTTCCTGTCACCTAGAGCTCCATGGCCCCTGGTCATTAGTCAATGTTCTCAGAAGTCTTCCTACTTCCTCCTGCACAGTTCTCTTTTAAATTACTTCTATACAAACTCCTCTGCCACAGTTGGTGGCAGAGGGAAATCAGCTTGCAGGGAACAAGCAAATGAAGAGCCTAGGACTTTCTTCTGTTGGAGTTAAGTTCTCTTTTTGGGACAGGCCGACCATATGTCCTTTGTGCTCATTCCCTCATGTCTCCCAGTGAGAGATGACAAATTCAGAGAGAAAAAGAGCTGGGTCAGCCTGGCAGAGAGTGGGGATGGGGTGGCAGGGTGGTAATAATGAGGCACAGTGGGAGCAGAATTAGTCACGCAGGCCTTGCACAAGGGCCCAGGCTGCAGCTTCAGGGGGTTTGAGTGTCGGTGGGAGCTCCCAGGAGACTAAAGAGCACTAGGCTCTGCTCCTACTGGCAGCTGCATTCTTTTTCAGTGAAAAGGTGAAAAATACTGAGGCACCCTCTCAGGCCTTCTGAATCTAGAATGAGTAACAGGGTTGGGGGTAGCAAAAAGGAGAAAAGGGAAGAGAGAGAGAGCCCTGCTGGGGGCTGAGCAGGAACCAGTCCCCAACCTCCGTCATTTCCTGGGTGCTTCGGCTTTGGTGATGGTCTCTGTCACTCATTGCTTGGAGATTCTCTGTTTCCTCTGCCTGTCACTGGTCATCTGGGACTTAGTCACACACTTATTACCCAGTGCCAGGTGGGTCAGAGGGCTAACATCACTGAGGGCAGCAACACGAGTCAAGAGAATCCCCTTCTTCAATCCTGCACTGTGAGGGTTCCCAGTGTGTGGCCATTCCTTGGGATGCGGGACCAGCTCAGAAGTGAGGTCCCACTGCGGACAGGAGTTCAGTCACCCTCCCTCCTGTTCCTGAGAATTTGAACAGTGTTCAATGTATGGCGCATCAGTGCCAGTGAAACCTTCAGTGTCTCCTACTACTTAAGAGCAAAGTTCTAAGAGTCCTTGTAGTATCTGAAAAGCGCATGTGTGATGGGATCAGCAGAAGAATTTGAATATAGGCCAAGCCAGTTAGGCATGCCATGTTTTTGCTCAAGTTTCCCTCTCTTAGCTCCATCTCCTTTTTCCTTCCTTTCTTTCTCTTCTTTTGAGGTGCTGGGGGTCAAACCCAGGATCTCAGGCATGCTAGGCAAGCACTGTACCACTCACTCTACATTCCCAGTCCCTTCATTTCCTTTTATAAAACATAGCCAGGAGCAGGGGCATATGCCTATAATCCCAGCTACGCAGGAGACTGAAGCAGGAGACTTGAGCCCAGGAGTTCAGGCCCAGCCTGGGTGAGATCCCATCTCTTGAAAGAAAGAAAGAAAGAAAATGCCAGGACAATTCCTTCCTCAGAGGATATTTGTGAGAATTAAATGAGAAAGTAGTAAGATGGGGAGGGGAGGAGGGGGTGAAGGGAGGGCAGGGGTAAGGGGAAAAAATGAGAATCAAGACTTGTCATGTAGAGGTACAAGATCCCAACAATGAATGTAACTGTACTGTATCCCTAAAATGTACCAACAAACTCAATTAAAGCTGAAAAAAAAACCAATAACAATAAATGAGAAATTAGTAGATATTTGTAAATTTAAGTTTTTCTTGTTTTCCTTACATAGAATTCAAGGTCCTCTTGAAACTCTGGTTCCAGCCCCATCATTTGATAAAGATCTATTTGGCACCCCTCTAAAGCACAGAGCCAGCCCAGTGTAGGTATAAAGAAGCAATCACGACCCTTCACCCTCATGGAACATAGCAGGCTTTCAGCTCTGCACTTTCCTGACCCTCATACCTTTTGCCTCATCTGATTCCTTTTTTTTTTTTTTTTTTTTTTTTTTTGGTACTGGGATCAAACAAGGGACCTTGCACTTGCAAGGCAGGTGGCAGAACCACTGAGCTAAGTCCCCAGCCCCTGCCCTATGTGATTCTTAGGCAGTCTTCAAAGTCCAACTCCAATCCTGCGTTACCACAACTCCGTGAGGCCTAGGATGGTCACCTCCTGTCTGATATCCTGGCTCCCCTCTTTCCTGGGGTCTTCCTCAACCTAACTGTAAGCTCTCCAAAGACAGGCTCTGGGTCCTTGTTTGTGTCCTTATTTACCCACTTCCTCCCAATGCCAGGCTGATAAATGCTTGAAAGAATGACTTTTCCTTAAAGCAGACATAAGTAGCTTTCAAGACCATTTAATTTCCCAACTCAGTTTGGGGTGCAAAGAAACTAAGACTCTACTCTTGATTCCTTCACTTGAAACCCAAGCTGACTGAGCTGTCTCCTACCTCTTTGCTTTCATTAATTTTTTCCTATTGAAGAGCAGGCAGGGAGACTTGAAGGTTAAGCTTAGGTGTTACTGGCCCAGGGTCCCTGGGACACAGAAATGACTAACTCCAGGGGGCAGCCCTGCTCCTGTCCAGAGACTGCTTCGTATCCTGTCAGGAGGCCCACCCTGGAGCAGAAACGTCTTCCTGTCTCCACAGAGGACTCCAAAGGGAAAGCGAGTGTGAGGGGCTCTTCTTGGCTTCTGCTCCCTGGTAGGGCAGGGGTTAATGATAGATTGCAACACATCTTTGGGCTGAGTCACTTCCCACTGCCACCCCTCATTCTCCTCAGTTGAAGTTTTATAAAGAGGGCTGAGAAGTGAAAAGTTCTGTAGGCAAGAGCCCCTTGCCTAGCTCTGCTGTCTCAGGCTCCCAGAAATCTGAGGTCAGAGAGCACAGACAGCCTCTGGAGCTCTTGTCTGCTGGGACCATGTGCTGGCAGCAGCTGTGGCTGGGCTTCCTACTCCCCATGACAGTCTCAGGCCGGGCCCTGGGTCCTGCAGAAGAGTCAGCTGTGGTGAGTCCCCTGGGGAAGGAGCCAGCCAGGGGAGTGACAGGGTAACCACTGCACTGATTCATGGATGCCTGCCTCCTGCTCTGTGAACTGCTTGCCTCTCCCTTCTTTCCTCTGTTCCATGGTCCACCCTGCCACCCTCTGTTCTATCTGGGCCCATTCTCTAAGTTGTCCCTCCTCTATTCTTTTGTATTTGTTCCCATCTCTCCTACTGGGCCTCTTGGGTCAGTTAGAACCTTTGCCTGAGGCTAACTCCCTCTCGCCATGCTTACCTCCTCTCCATCATAGGATTACCTGTTGCAGTATGGGTACCTGCAGAAGCCTCTAGAAGGACCTGATAACTTCAGGCCAGAAGATGTCACAGAGGCTCTGAGGTGAGAGGTCACAAATCACAAGGTCAGAGCTAAAGCTGCACGATCTTCTCTTCTTCCTTTTCTCCCCTCGGGCTCACCTCTGCCTGGCCCCAAAACCACCATGGGGTTCTGTTGGATGGGTGCTAGCAATGTTAGGGTGGTGGCGCATAGGGTGGGACAGGGCCTCAAGATGAGAAGCACAGCCATTAGATCTGCTAGGCCCTACGCCCTCCTTTGGAGGCGCTACCCCTCATCACATCCCAGGTACTAATATTTAGGTATAGTCCAAGTGAAATACAGTTTACATATCAAACTCTGGATTGGGCTGTTGAAGTGATGTTGCCTTTTATGGTAGTCCATAGATAGATGGGATTGCCCCAGACCAGGCTGGGCTGGAGGTGGGTCCAACCAGGAGGAGAGAAGGCCAAGAAGGACAGGTCCTGGTAGAGAACTGGAGAGCAAGGCAGAAAATCTCCAGAGGGAGATGGCCACTTCTCCAGAGCAGAAGTTTAGAAACTGTAGTAGGCGAGGAAGTCTACACTCAAGGATAATTTTACGTGAATGAAAGATAGGACAGCTGGGCATGGTGGTGGCACTCTGGGAGGCTGAAGGAGGAGGACTGTAAATTCCAGCTAAGCCTGGGCAACTCAGTGAGACCCTGTCTCAAAAAAGGGTTGGGAATGTAGTTCAAAGGGAAAGCTCTGGGTTCAGTCCCTAGTACTGAAAGAAAGAAAAGAGAGAGAGAGAGAGAGAAAGCGAGAGAGAGAGAGAGAGAGAGAGAGAGAGAGAGAGAGAGAGATTGAGAGAAAGAGAGACATTGAGAGACTGTTGCCATTTCTACAGAACAGAAGAGAAAGGCCTAACTATGAGGACTAGAGGTTGAAGTGACTCTGTTTAAATTCAGAGATTCCATGCTGTTCTTGGTCGCCTCCTTGAGCATCAGAAGGCCAAAGCACCATCTCCAGTTCTTAGTCATTCCAGACTCACCTGCCCTGGTAGACATAGCCTTCTCTCTTTCCAGAGCTTTTCAGGAAGCATCTGAGCTGCCTGTCTCAGGTCAGCTGGATGATGCCACAAGGGCCCGCATGCGGCAGCCTCGTTGTGGCCTGGAGGACCCTTTCAACCAGAAGACTCTCAGATACCTGTTGCTGGGTGAGGACTGCACCTGGGAAGAGGAGGGCAAGCAGAGGATGTTGTGGCTCTGGAGTGTGGTGGTATCAGGACAGCCTGTACCAGTTCAGTGTTGAATGGATGATCACCTGGTTATTATCTGTCTAGAGAGGTTGTGAGCACCTATATCCAGAGGAGCTCTCTAGGGTTAGGAGAAAGATCTGTGTTTCCACTGCAGAGAAGGTTGTGTTTCAAGTGTACTTTCTGGTCCATTAACCAGGGCGTTGGAGAAAAAAGCACCTGACCTTCCGCATCTTGAACCTGCCCTCCACTCTCCCACCCCACATAGCTCGGGCGGCCCTGCTCCGAGCCTTCAAGTACTGGAGCAGTGTGGCCCCCCTGACCTTCCGGGAGGTGCAAACTGGCTGGGCTGACATCCGCCTCTCCTTCCATGGCCACCAAAGCCCATACTGCTCCAATACCTTTGATGGACCAGGTAGGTGGCAGTTCTCAGCTCTCACCTCCCAGACTTATGAGATTGCTTCCGTTTGAGTCTGCAACTTTGGAATCTTAATATCCAGGCTGCTCTTTATGTCCTCCTGCACCCTAGGCAATCTGACCCCCTTCTAACATTCCCTTGGGGGGAGGGCACTGTTGCCTGCCTACAGCCTTACCAAACCTCCTCTTTGAAGCTGATACCATCTTCCCTGGTTTAAATCCCATCAAGGCACATGTAAAGGCGGGGGCGGGGCACAGAAGAGAGAGTGGATGGGAGAGGTAAAGAGTCTGTGATGAGAAAACAAGATGACATCAAAGGAATCTGAAAGAAGCATCCCAGAGACAGTGCATATAGCTAGGGGCAGTTCAGGATATGGAGTACTTCCAGTTTACATGGGCAGGGTATGCTCCAGCACTCTGGGCTCTGACCTTCCGGTGCACCTTTGTCTTCATGCAGGGAGGGTGCTGGCCCATGCTGACATCCCTGAACTGGGCAGCGTACACTTTGATGAAGATGAACTCTGGACGGAGGGAACCTATCGGGGGGTGAACCTGCGCATCATTGCCGCCCATGAACTGGGCCATGCCCTGGGACTTGGCCACTCCCGATACACCCAGGCGCTCATGGCCCCTGTCTATGCTGGATACCGTCCCTACTTCCAGCTGCACCCAGATGACGTGGCAGGAATCCAGGATCTCTATGGTCAGTCCCTCTCCCCCGGGAGTGTGAGGGTCAGTGTCATCCATGGGGGAAATGGTGTGCCTTCTTTTTCTCCCTCCAGCCCAGTTCCGTAGGCTTCTTCCCTTTCAGGAATGGTTTCCCACCAACTCTGCTATGTCTAATTTTCCTTCCAGGCCTTTCACCCTTCCCTTAGAGTTGGGAAATGCAGATCCCAGGAAGCCTCCTCCATTTCTGGTTGCTTCTCAAAAACTCCAACGTGTCTCTTGCTGATGTCAATATGAAATTACCCACCATCAAGAAAAACTCCCTGGGCGAGGGATTTAGCTTAGTGGTTCCGCTGCTTGCCTTGAAAGTGCAAGGTCCTGAGTTCGATCATCCCTGGTACCAAAAACAACAAGAAAATCTTCCTAAAAGGCCACTTTATTCTTTTTTTTGGTACTGGGAATCGAACTCAGGACCTTACACTTGCAAGGCAGGCAGCAGAACCCCTGAGCTAAATCCCTGACCCCTCCTTTATCCTTTTTATGGGAGCACTAAGCAGAATGGATAGTAGACAGGTGTAATCACTTCTCTCTCACAGCAGCATTATTTCATCTTGCAGGAAAGAAAAACCCAGAGACAAGGAATGAGGAAGAAGAGATGAAGGTGCCCACTGGACCCCCAGTGCCCAGAGAGCCCAGTCCTATGCCAAACCCCTGCAGTGGTGAACTGGATGCCATGATGCTGGGTGAGGCCTCTCCCCTTCAAGCTACAGACAGGCAGTGGGGCCAGGCATTGACCTGAAGGCTTGAATAAATAGGAATGACCCGAAGCCACAGCACGAGCATGGAGGTCAGACCCCAAGCAGAAGCTGGTGACTACAGAAGAAGAATGTAGTATAGACAGGGAGGGTTCAAAGTCGAATGTAAAGGGGAAGAGCAGGCATTTATGAAGGTTGCCACCCTATAAGGGCTATTAGAGCACATACAGAAATGCAGCAAAATGGAATCAGCTAGAAGGCCTATTAAAGAGGGCTATGCACCTGATTGGAAGAACACTTTGGTAAGCCACGTGGAATAAGACGTCCCCAAGTTGGAACAACTGTCTGCAGTGCTTTGGTTTTTACTGAGTAGGCCAGGGCTAAAACGTTCTAACAAACAAGGGAGAAGCTGAACACTGAGTCCTCTTCCTGTACTTTTAATTTTCTTCTTGAATTCAAATTGGATGAAGTGTTGAGGAATCAGCCTATGGGAGGTAGGGCAAGTCATCAGTCTACCTGAGGTACAAGTCTTTGTCCTTTTGACTCATTGACACACCTTTGCTCTCAGGGCCCCATGGGAAGACCTATGCTTTCAAGGGAGACTACGTGTGGACTGTGACAGATTCAGGGCTGGGCCCCTTGTTCTTAGTGTCTGACCTTTGGGAGGGGCTTCCAGGAAAGCTGGATGCTGCTGTCTACTCTCCTCGAACACAGTGGATTCACTTCTTTAAGGGTAAGGGGGCTATAGTGTCTTATCTGAGGGGGGCCTAGTCATAAAGAAGCCACAAAAGGGAGAGTTGAGAAGTTTCTGAAAGGGTGGTACAAGCCTGCAGTCTCAGCACTCAAGAGGCTGAGGCAGGAGGATTGCTGAGAGTTTGAGGCTTAGCCTGGGCTACATAATGAGTTCAAGGCCAGCCTGAACTGATAGTGAGACCCTGTCTCAAAAAACAAAACAAAACAATACAAACAAACAAAAGGGTGGAATTGAGGGACCAAAAGCTACCACCTGAGGATGGAGGTGACTTCTTTTCTTGTACACTCTCAGGAGACAAGGTGTGGCGCTACATTAATTTCAAGATGTCTCCCGGTTTCCCCAAGAAACTGAATAAGGTGGAACCCAACTTGGACGCAGCTCTCTATTGGCCTGTCAACCAAAAAGTGTTCCTCTTTAAGGTATAAAGTTCAAAAGGAGGGCACATCCCTTCTTAAGAGGGGCAGGCTATCTCATGTATCTCTGCAGTTGTAGTGGGCTGAGGGTGGACCTCTAGGGGTCTCTCGATTCTGTCTTCATTGTGCCCCTCTCCACATCCACTCTTTACCCAGGGCTCTGGGTACTGGCAATGGGATGAGCTGGCCCCAACTGACTTCAGCCGCTACCCTAAACCAATCAAGGAGTTGTTTACTGGAGTGCCAAACCAGCCCTCGGCTGCCATGAGCTGGCGAGATGGCCGAGTCTACTTCTTCAAGGGCAAGAAGTACTGGCGCCTCAACCGGCAGCTTCGAGTAGAGAAAGGCTATCCAAGGAACACAGCCCACAGCTGGATGCACTGTCACCCTCACACCCCGAGCACTACCGCATCAGCGGGGGACATCACTCCCTTGGCCACGGATGCCCTCTCCAACACTGACACAGTCTTGGACGTTACTTCTTCAGTGACAGACGCCACCACACTTTCACCACTTGCTCATGTCACCTTTCCAGAGGCCTAAGACCAAATCACATGTCTGTTTATTAGAACTACAGCAGGTTATAAAGCAGATCTCCAGCCTCGAAAAGTTTCGACTCTAGCCGCTACTCTCCTGTGCTCTCTCTCCCGAAAGTTTCTTTCTTTACCCTGATTCAGCCCCCACTCCACCCAGCTTTCCTCATCTTAGATAGCTTTAGGTATCACTTCCAACTGTCATCTCCTCTCTGGAAGACAGCAGTGGAGTGATGTGTCAATCAGGCATTCAGCTGACGGGATGTGGTAGCCAAGAAAGCTGGATGCCTGGGCCTTGTTCCTCCTATATGAAGTGCAAGAAAATAGTATGGCCAGTAAAATGAGCAAGGCTCGGGAATCCTGGAGAATCACATTTGCCTGCTTGGACTCTGGGCGTGAATTGACCTCACTGACCCTGGATTCCCCATTAGCAAAGCAAAGTTAATACCAATCCTGCATGGTTGTTGCAATCATTGAAACACCACGTACATGCAAAGTGTCTGGCATAGAGTCTAGCTCCTTTGTGGTTAATAAAGGCTAATTCTGTGTTTCTAAGAGAGGACGAAACAGCTCTTCCTCTAGCTGTCTGGGTGTACAGCTACTACAGTACTGTCTGATAAGATTACCCTTATCAGATCCGTTAGGGGACAGAAGATTTATTAATATGGCCACCTCTTTGAGGATACAGAAAAGCAAAAAACAAAACAAAACAGCAGCAACAGTAGAGGCAGAATTCCCTGGTTCAGTTTTCAATGCCACTTTATTCATATGGTCCTTTGTTCTTCCTTCCTCCCACCATAGCCCTGCTGCTCAGAGGAGGGATATGTCTTCCTTCATGCTGTCTGGGAAGCCAGGGAACAGACTGTGGGCAGGAGAGTCAGAGGGGGTAGAGTTAGAAGGGGTTAGCAGCTGGAATAAAATTCTGGTTAAGGAGGGAGTTAATTATCACCCACAGTGATAGGTAGAGAAGGCACTTTTCTCCCATGCAGCCCTGAAGACCAGACTCCTTTGGGCAAAAGGGAAAGACTCTGGCATGTAGGCCAATGCTATCTTGATCAAGAAGCCAGCTTTTGGGAAGGTGGGTGTCGAGGCAGGTACTGTGATCTTCCCCAGGTTGAGAGAAGGGGAAGCACCACGGAGGATAGTGCTCCCCACTGAGGTAGGAAAAGGGGGCTCAAACCTATATGGTACAAAGGGAAAGAGCAACCAAAAGCCCAACTGCTCCTTAATGAGGGAATTCTGAAACTCTTTTGTGCTATTCTCCTCATCAAAAGCTATCAAAGAGCTGGGTGTGGTGGTGCACAGCTGTAATCTGTAATCCCAGCACTCAGGAGGCTGAGGCAGGAGGATCGCTGTGAGTTCGAGACCAGCCTGGGCTACATAGCGAATTCCAGGTCAGTCTCGACTACACAGTGAGACCCTGTCTCAAAAAAAAAAAAAAAAAAAAAAGGGAAGCTATCAAATGCCTTAGGAGGCTCCCTGATTTTCTACGGGTCTTATAAAAACAAAGCCTCTTATTTTACCATTGGGAGGCATACTGAGATGGATATTTATTTGGGTAAGAGCCCTCCTTGCTTTGGAGGGAATTAGTCAGTTTCTTAAGGGAGCAGGGGACCTCTATTACTGGACAGAGGTAGTCATACTTCCGTGCCTCTCTCTTCCCCACAAGATTCTTACATTCCTGTCCCTGAAACATATCCCTATAAGGCTGCTCTGGAGCACAGGTCCTATCCCCAAATCCAAGACATGGAGAAGTTTGCATATAGGTGCTGTGGGCCCTCATTAGGGTGGGGCCTGAGAGGCTCAGGTCTGAGTTGAACCAGGGGGTGTGGTGAGGGGTACAGTGGAACCACAGTCAGAATCCAGGTCCAGAATGGTGTTGGAAGCTGTGGCCAGGTTGCTTGGTCCCAGCTGGTGGTCTCGAAGACTCTGGAGATAACTCTGAAGAGGTAAAGGGCAAAAGGATAGCCCTGGGTCACAGCCCCTCTCACCTTGACCATCCCCATATACCCACTGCCACACCACCAGGGTGCCCCATACCCCCACTCACTGGAGCCAGACTGTCAGCAGGGCTCCGGACACTGGGTGGCAGCTGATGCCGATAGCTGCCCTCACACAGTCCCACCCCAGAAGGGGTCCGATGCCACTTGGCCTCTTGTGAATGGATCCGAAGAAGCTGGAGATGCCTTCGCTGGTGGCTCAAGACTACTGCTTTGGAAGGGGTAATTCAGACTCAAGCAGGCCTCTTGAGGTCCTGAATTCTACTCCTAAACACATACTCTACAGAAAGCCATTTGAACTGTGTTGTGTTTTTTTAAGCCTCGACTCACCCTCAGTCTTTAGATTTCTACTTTGTCCTTCGAGGATCTTCCTTTCTGTTCACAGCAGTCCCAAATAACTTACCCCAGCATCCCTGAAAAATTCTCATTTTGAACCAGACCTTTCCTTTGGCTACTTTAATTCTAACTTTCTTTAATGCCCCGTTCCATCTACTTGGATATCCTTCCCATTCTCGTTCCTAAAGTCTAATTTATCCTCTTTCTTTCAAGTTTGGGAAGCAGGGACACAAGTAGGCACAGGTTAGATGTTTCTACACTGCAGCACTAACTCACCATTAGCGTGGTCTCCACGTTCCTCAGACATGAGCTTCCACTGGGCCAGGGCCCCAAGAGCCCCCAAGGCTGGCCAGGTCCCCAGCATGACCCAGCTATACCAGCAGAGAGGAGGCAAAGCTGGAAGTGCCTGCAGGCGTTGGCCCAGCCGACTGCCCAGTGCCAGTCCCTCGAGGAAGTAGTCAGCACAGGCCACTAGCACTGCAGCACCCAGCAAGGCTGTGCCCAGAATTGTGAAGTGACGAGGCCACCGAAGTGTCAGCAGGGCTCCCAGGAGTGCCAGACCCACCAGTCCTCCGGCTGGTACCCAGGCTGAAGGTGGCTGGTAGATGGGCTCAGTGGCCAGCAGGGCCCCAATGCCCAGGGTCAGACCTAGCAGGAGACCAGTCAGGAAAAGCCCAACACTGCGAACCAGCATGGTGACCAAACCGCAGAGGAGTCCAATGCCCAGTGCGATGCCTGCGCTCACCTCCAGGCTCAGCTGTGTCTCCAGCACCCGCTCCTTGTGGCACAACAGGAAGATCACCAGAGCTCCTGACAGCAAGCCCGAGAGAAACATCACTGCCTTGAAGCAGCGGTAGCCTGGGAAGGGAGGCAAGAAGCACTGAGAGGCAGAAAGGGGGTTGTTCAGGGATGATTTGGGAGAACTGGGAAAGGAAAGCTAACCAGAGGAGCAGAAGACAGAAGCGGCACACCAAGGGGACTTCAAGGCAAGAGGAAGAAAAGGATAAGCTTAAGGATGGAGGAGGGGTGTTTAGGATGGAGGAAGGGATGGGAGGGAAAATTAGGAGGCAAGATGGATTTGCTGAGAGTAAATATAGGAAGATCTGGACTTCTGGAGATAAGCTGTAGGAAGAAATCACCATGGGCTGATTGAGCTTGCTGGGGAAAAGTAAAGAATTGTCAAGTCTGGAGGATAAGCGGGAATGCAGTTTTGAGGCAGGAGGCATAGAAAGGCAAATGATAGATCACAGAGCTAGAAGGCACGGGCCATGGGTTGGGTGAGAAGCTGGCAAGGGAGGAATGGGCCATTCTGAAGGTAGGTGTCCCCTCATAGAAGTGGCCCAGGAACAAAGAAGACAGTTGGCATCGTCATTGAGTGCAAGTCTTGGGCAGCTGCCCCCAAGGACCTTGGCCCTGCCCTCACCAAAGCAGCAGTAGATGATTCCAAAGCAGCAGCACAGGGCACACACCAGGGCAGGTGCCAGTTCAGGGTTGTCCTGGGGTTCCAAGGCACAGCTTGGGTCTGGAGGCTCTGGGAGTTGCTGATTAAAGGGTCTGGGATCGGCTGTCATAGTGAGGGGTAGGAAGGCTTTTTCCATGGTCCAAGAGGATGTGGTCACAGAGCGGGAAGTCAGTGTCAGCTCCTCTCACCCATCCATGAATGTCTTGAGGGTGCTGGAAGCCTGCAAGAGGACAAGGGGGAGAACTCACGTGCTCATGAATCTTGAGGATTCTATCTCTGTTTTCTTTTGAAGAATGGCCAATTTTAGTCAGGAGAATGGCGCTGTTGGGGTAACTAAAGAAATCTCCAGGGTTCTGTTGAGGGGAGTGGGATGTTTCTTTATCACCTTCTAAATCGAGGATATTAAGGAAAATTTAAATGAAAAATTCATGTGGTAATGAGCCTTTACCTGCTTTACAGGGTGAAGGGAGGAGTAGGAAGCCCTGAATCTGCGGGAAGAAGGGTGCAAGGGCACTTAGGGTGCTGGAAGCTAAAGCCCCAGAAGCCTATCTGAAAAGAAAGCCCGCCTCCTTTGCAGCACAGACTCACTAGTACTCCACTGGATTGGAAAGGGCAGGGTTAATAGAGAGGGGAGAAGGAGAAGGAAGAAGAGACAGTGAGTCATGCTGGGGTCTCAGGACAGCTGCTGCAACCCCAGGGAGGAGAGGGAAAAAAGAAAAACAGACACCACAAGATTCTAGGACAAGGAATTAAGTAGGGACGGGGGTTTGGAGCCTGCCTTTGGGCTAAGAGTTCTTGGGGGAAGGGGCTTGTTGATGCAGTCCAAATCCCATAGCCCCACAAGGAGAAAGAGGCACACCCTGGTATCCACTTGCTTCTCCCCTCAAGACAATGATGGAACTTTTCCTACTCTTCCCGCAGGGGTGTGAGGGCTACCACTGGGATCTGAATTCAGATCCTGGAAGAGCACCAAGGAAGGGCTGGCGATTGGAGTACTGTGGGAGTGTGGGTGCGATGGATGCTGGCACTTTCCTTCAGCTGTCTTTTGAACACCAAGGTCCTAACAGGCTGAGGAGTGGCTTAGGAAATCCTGTGGCTCCTCAATAGGTCTGGAAGTCTGGGACCCAAAATAAGAGAAGATGGGGAAAGGATATCAACTACTCACCACTCAGCCAGGGCTGAGGAGAGGAGGGGGTGGAAGTGCTTTCCTAGACCCCCAGCTGCATCCCAGCCCAGAGGTCCTAGGTGCCGGGGCGGGTGTCGGGCGTGGGCACCCCCAGGGCCACTCTGTTCGCTGCTCCCTAAACACTCTTACAAGTCGTAGCCCAAAGCCCTAGTGAGCTAAAAGCAACTAGCCTGGGGTGGAGGGCGGAGGAAGGGGACAGGGTGTGTGTATGGAGGGAGGGTGACATCACGGGGCGGGTCCCTCCAACCCTTTCCTCTGTGTGTGGGGGGACATAGTGGCTTACTGCTCTGCTCTAGGACCAGACTCCCAACCATAGCAGGACAGAGTCTTTGGGGACTTAGCAAGAGGTTTGGGGAAACGGCTCTGCATACTTAGGAGAAAACTCCACAACTCAAAGCTCTCAAAATCTCAACTGGGGTCCCAGATCCCCCCTAGCTCCAGTTTGGTTTCTACCACTTCCCAGAGAATTGGAGTATTGTCTTCGGGAGAACGGGGTGGTCGGGTTGGGGGGCGGGCTGGAGAGGGGGGTTCACTGGTCTGGAGGAGCTTGCGAGGGGTTTATGGGTGGAAAAACTTGCGGAGCAAGACGGGGTCTGGATTGAAAAGGGTCACGGACAGAACTGTAAGGCTGGAAAATGTGCACTGGAGGGAACTCAGGGTCTGCGTGGGGGCGGGGCGCGTGTCGACGTCGGCGGAAAATCTTGGTATGCAAATGAGATGCAAAACGGCCGGCATACAGATGAGTGCAGTGTTCTGTTGCACTCGGCTCTAGTTCTAAACCCAGCGGAGCTACGCTCCCAGTCCTCTGGCCTTATTCTGTGACCAGGCCTGGGAACCGCGTCCCGAGGGGGCGGATCCGGGGCGTGGGAACTGCAGTTATAAGCGAAAGCTCTCCAGCTGGGTCAGCCGCGGTGGAAGCGGAAGGCTGCAGGGAGAGGAGGGGCAGCGCTGCAGAGCCAGGGCGGGGGCTAGCCCGGGGCATCCTCTCCTCCGCCCCACCTCCACGGATACAAAGGGTCCTCTGTCCTTGCTACAGCCGGTAGGGAAGGGATCAGGGCGGTGGTTCCTTCCTCTGCGATCCCTGGTCTTGTCTGCGAGGGAAACAGATTATGTGTGGCCCAGTGGCTGTCCTCCATCTTTCATTGTCGGTAAAGCTCAGGCGTAGAGTAGGAGCAACTCTGAGATTCGGACCCCAGCCCGAAGCCACTGCGGCAGAGAGCTGTGGCTTCGATTTCAGCCGCGCCATCTGCGGGCGCAGCCACCCCGCACGCGGAGGGCAGCAGCGGAGGGCCCTTTAAGGGGCTGGGCCGGTGCTCTCGAAGGCCGCCTCCTCTGATTTGATTCCGCCCTAGGTGGACTGGCTTGCGCTGGGGCCAACTACTTTTTCTTCTTCCCGGCTCTTCCCCGCTGACCCCGGAAGTGGAAGTCGGTGCAGGTCGGCGGCCGCGGCGGGGACGGAAGGCGGAAGCAGAGCGTGAGCGGGAGGCGGAGCCGGGGGGCTGCTCTCGTAGCTCCTCCTGGCCCCGAGGCCCAGCTGCTCGAGGGGGAGGAGTTACTGCCGCTCTTCGGTACGTTACTTTCGCCCCTTCTAGCCAGTCGGCGCTCCGAGGGAACCCTAAACTCCGTCCCCAGCTTTTCCTTAGGGCCGCACGGTCCCCACCCTTTTCTGACAGTCTGCGGTTCCCTGCTTTCCGGCTTTTACCTTTTTCCTAAGAGTAACCCGTGGACCACACCCTTTGCATTACCTCTCTTTCCCCGACTGAAGATTATGGCTTCCCGGGGAAAGAAGAAAAACTAAGATTTGGAGAAGGGGCGAGGATCCAAGAAGGGCTGTTACTCTTGTTCTGGCTTATTATTAGGATTAATGAATGCCGCAAAGGGGATTTGGGATAACGAGGGAGGAGAGTATAGTATATATATATCCCCAATTTAAGATTAACTCCCCTTTGGTCCTATTCTTAACTGTTCCCACCATAATACCTTTGTTCCAGGCACCAGAACTTACCATGATGGCTGTGACCTAAAACCCTCAGGAAGCCCCGGGGTCATGGCCCAGAAGCACCCGGGAGAAAGAGGGTTATGTGGAGCCCACCACAGCGGTGGTGCCTCCCTCAGGACTTTGGGACCCTCCGCGGATCCTGAAATACTCGCATTCTCAGGACTCAGGGACTCAGCAGAGACTACTCCTAATGGTACCCGCTGCTTTACAGAACACTCTGGTCCCAAGTACACACAACCCCCAAATCCCGCCCACTGGTCGGATCGAAGCCATGGCTCCCCAAGGGGTCCAGGACCACCTAGGGAAGGAGAGGACCCTGATCATAGTGAGGCATCTTCAGAAGAAGAGTCAGGAGTGGACCAGGAACTCTCTAAGAATGAGGCTGGGTATCATGAGGATGGGAGCCCTTCATTTCTTTCCATTCCATCTGCCTGTAATTGCCAGGGAACCCCTGGTATCCCACAAGGGCCTTACTCTGAGGGAGGAGATGGCTCTTCTAGCAACTTTTGCCACCATTGTACCTCTCCAACCTTGGGGGAAGATGAATTGGAAGAGGAATATGATGATGAAGAACCTCTTAAATTTCCAAGTGAATTTTCACGCGTGTCCAGCGGAAAGAAACCACCATCCCGGAGACAGCGGCACCGCTTTCTGACCAAGGAGGATAATCGGGAGAGTGGACGCCGAGACCCCAGGGTTCCTGGTCGCCATCGGCTGGGCCGGAAACGAAGTCAGACAGATAAGCGCAGAGGCCTGGGGTTGTGGGGAGCAGAAGAACTACGTCAGCTTGGACAGGCAGCCTTCTGGTGGTTGATTGAACTGCTGGTTTTGGTGGGAGAGTACGTGGAAACTTGTGGCCATCTCATCTATGCATGCAGGCAACTGAAAGGCAGCGATCTGGAAGTTTGTCGAGTTTGGCTGGGAGCCTGGGCAGGACGGTTGGGGGGCTGGGCCCAGGTAGTGTTCCAATTTCTAAACCAGGGGTTTTACTGTGGGGCAGGGCTGTTCACCCGTTTTCTTAGGCTAATGGGTGCTTTGCTGCTCCTGGGTCTGGCAATCTTTTTGGGCTGTCTCCAGTTGGGCTGGCAGTTTCTGGTGGGCCTGGGTGACCGGTTAGGCTGGAGGGATAAGGCCGTCTGGCTGTTTTCTTGGCTGGATTCTCCCACCTTGCAGCGTTGCTTCACCTTGCTGAGAGATAGTAGGCCATGGCAGCAGCTGGTAAGAATAGTTCAGCGGGGTTGGCTGGAGTTGCCTTGGTTCAAGCAGAGGACTAATAGCCAAGGGAGTACACCTATAGCTAGTGGGCGGTACTGCCAGCCTGAAGAGGAAGTGGCTCGACTCTTGACCATGGCTGGGGTTCCTGAGGATGAGCTAAACCCTTTCCATGTGCTGGGGGTTGAAGCCACGGCATCAGATACCGAACTAAAGAAGGCCTATAGGCAGCTGGCAGTGATGGTGAGTACACTTCCTCTCAAGTTTCCTGTTCCTCTCTGTTCCCTGTTTTATTTTCTACTCCAGTTTTAGGGAGCGTGGAGTACAAGGAAGGCAGAATAGGAAAGTCAACTAGAAGCTGAAGGGTAACATTTGTAGTAAAGTCATAAAGACTTTTCTCTCTACAGTGGGATCTGACTTTCCTTCCATCTTAAATCTTTTGTTATAAGATTTAAAAAAACAACTTTATTTTTTGGAACCTGATACAGCAGACAGTGTTGAACTCACCCCGGAATAGATAAAGTCCCTTTAATGTTGTGTTGGGGAAGAGGCCTATTCAGAAGGTATTTCAGTTGCTCTCCCCTGAACAAAGAAAAGAGATTTTTAAACATGGTGAAACCCAGTTATCTCCTTCAGAAAGGCAAGCGTGGACCTAGTATGGGAAAGATCAGGGAGTGCATGTGAATGATTGATTATACCAGGATCAGGTAGAAGAAAACAGGCCATCTAAGGTCAGCAGCTCAGAATAGAAGACAGAAGAAAAATGGGGCATAAATCATAAGGAGATTTATTTATGCCTGTGTATGTCATACATGAAAATATGGTTGCTTTTATTGATAAGGGCGTGTGCAGGTGGGAATCACCATGTACCATTCCTTGAAGGCTGTAAGGAAATGCCTGTAGTTTAATGCAAATATTGAAATTAATATTAGTAGATTTTAAGATGCCATTTTTAGATACATGATTGTTATTGCTATTTCTGTACAACTATATTATGAATATAAGTAATGTATATAGATTGCATTGGAAGCCTTTTATTGAGTGTATAAAGCTGGATTGTTTAAAAAAAAAAATCACAGTGTACAAATTACCTCAATGGCTGTATGACCCCAAAGAGAAATGGGCAACCAAGGTTTCCCTTAGCCATTAAAGGTACAGTAAGGGCCCAGGATTTAGCTCAGTGGTTCCGCTGCCTGCCTTGCAAGAACAAGGTTCTGAATTCGATCCCTGGTACACACCCCCAAAAAAAGTACAATAAACTTCCAGCCCTGTATCTTGCCAAAGAACTGATTTAATTTGGTGGAAAATACATGCTCCTTAGTGGAGAACTGGGATATTCTTAGAGTAGGTAACAAGTACTTACCCTCAAATTGTTACTAATATTAGCGCTCTTTTCTCACCTTCACCTGTTTTAACAGATATCTTGGAGAATTGTGAGACAAATTTTCATTATTCAACTTAGTTAAAAAGTTTCTACTTGGAATAGATATGTAGTTAAGGTCCCCCATCTTTAACATACCTGCCCCTCTATTCTAAAGTTCTCTCTTTTTCTGGGCCAGAGTGTCTGGTACTTTCTTTTATAGAGCTTCTTGCTGACTTTACTAGAGCTCACTGTGAACATATCTAAAAGGCTGGTATTCATATATTAGCTTTTTTTTTCCCTTTTGGGACTGGGGGTGTTGAACTCAAGGCCTCACACTGAGCTAAATCCCCAGCATTTTACTTTTTTGCTTGTTTTGAGACAGGGTCTTAGTTCAGGCTGGCTTTGAATTACTTATCCCAGGCTGGCCTTGAAACCATTCTGATCCTTCTGCCTGTTTCTTGAGTGCTGGGATCACAGGCCTGCATCACCATGCCTGGCTTTTTATTTTTCAGACAAGGTCTTGCTAAATTGTTGAGTTGCCTGGGCTGAGGTCAAACTTGTGATCCTCCTGGCTCAGCCTCCCAGAGTGCTAGGATTATAGGCCTGCACCCTGTGCCTGGTTTATATTAGCTCGATAACGTAGGAAAGTTTTATTTATTTATTTATTTTTTTGGTTTTTTTGAGACAGGAATCAATATGTAGTTCAGGGTGGTCTTGAACTCACTATGTAGCCCAGGCTGGCCTCAAAACCACTGTGATCCTCCTGTCTCGGCATCCTGAGTGCTGGGATAATAGGCATGTGCCGCCACACCTGGCAGAGAATATAAGAAGTTTAACAGCATTCTTTGTATTTGGCCTTAGGAAGGAGACTCACTTATCTCCATTTTTGGGGCGTGGGGATGGGAACAATGAGGAAACTGTAAAAAGGTTAACTGTCACAGAGAAAAGGCTGAAAATTATAAGCCTCTGAAATCACAACATGCTATTTCATTTCTGGGACTGAAAGGAAGACTTATAGGAAGTTTTGGATATGAAAATTTTCTAGCTGGAAAATGATGAATTTGAACATGGACGTTTGGAACTCATTTTATAATTGGTAATAAAGCTAAAATGAGAGGGCTTAGTATTTGCATGCCAGTTAGGGTGTCCAACCATCCCTGTTCACCGGGGGATGTTTCTTGACAGGTGGGACTTGCAGTGTGAATTGGGACAATCCCACTAACTGGAATGGTAGATCACTCTAGTGCCAGATCCTGTCCTGTATACCTCGTACATACCCCTATTTAATTATCCCAAAAAAATCTATTGTCGGTAAAATATTCAGTCATAGAGCTAAGTGAAAGCTCAAGCTTGAACCCAGATCTGTCTGCAGAACCAGAGTAATCATTAAGCTATATTGATTCTCTAAAATGGTGAAAGAGAACCCTTTGATCTGGGAATAGACCCATTTGTGATTTATGATGAAATCTTTCTTTGTCTTGGTAGGTTCATCCTGATAAAAATCATCATCCCCGGGCTGAAGAGGCCTTCAAGGTTTTAAGGGCAGCTTGGGACATTGTCAGCAACCCTGAAAGGCGGAAAGAATATGAGATGTAAGTTAGATAAATTATCGGGAGAGGTAAATGAAAAATCCTCAATAGGAGAGGCCCTTGAACTTATGGATAGAAACTGAGGCAGAGAGGACTGACACTGTCTGTCTTTATAGCTAGCCAGGAGCCTCAAGAGGTGAATAGAGCTGTCTCTTTGGCCCGCCCTCAATACCATCTGATTGACAAAGCTTTTCTTTTAGGAAACAAATGGCAGAGAATGAGCTGAGCCGGTCAGTGAATGAGTTTCTGTCCAAGCTGCAAGATGACCTCAAGGAAGCAATGAATACTATGATGTGTAGTCGATGCCAAGGAAAGCATAGGTATGAAATGCGACAAGGGTAGGAACTGGGGTTCAGAGTTTAGGTAATCCACGTCATTCCTTTATTGGTAATTATGAGACACTGTGAGGAAAAGACCCTGAGGTTTCTACTTTTGCCCTACTATCAAGAAATTGAAAGGGCCCTTAGCTCAGTGGTACCAGTGCCTGCCTGGCAAGCACAGGTCCTGAATTTGATCCCCGGTTCCTCAAAAAAAAAAGAAAGAAAGAAAGAAATTGAAGATTCAAATTAGCAGTAAGAAAAAAAAAAGTTGAAGGCAGGTTATATATAAGCATATGTAACAACAATGGAAATTGTTTTAAGTATTTTGGCAATATTTCACAGTAATGATGAAACCACTAGCAATGACCTAAGTAGACAAAGTATTAAGGAACTACCCTTTGGTGGGTTGCAGGAGGTTTGAAATGGACCGGGAACCTAAGAATGCCAGATACTGTGCTGAGTGTAATAGGCTGCATCCTGCTGAGGAAGGAGACTTTTGGGCAGAGTCAAGCATGTTGGGGCTCAAGATCACCTACTTTGCACTGATGGATGGAAAGGTCTATGACATCACAGGTAAACTTTTTTATTTTTTGTTTTGTTTTGTTTTTTGAGACAGGGTCTTGCTATATAGCTCAGGCTGGCCTTGAGCTCATTATGTAGTACAGGCTGGTCTTGAATTTGCAGAAGTCCTTGTGCCTCAGGCTCCTCCTGAGTGCTGGGATTACAAGTGTGCACCACCTCGCTGGCTCACAGATATACTTCTGATCTGAAGAAATATGGGATAAGCTTTTTGAAAGGCAGGATGTAGTTCAGGCTGGCCTTGAGCTCATTATGTAGCCTTGGCTGGCCTCAAACTTGCAGTGATCCTCCTGCCTCAGCCTCTCAAGTGCTGAGATTACAGGTGTGAACCACCACAACTTGCTCGAAGCTATGATATTTTGACTAATTATCTTTCCTTTTTGCAGAGTGGGCAGGATGCCAACGTGTGGGAATTTCCCCAGATACCCACAGAGTTCCCTATCACATCTCATTTGGCTCTCGGATTCCAGGCACCAGTGGTCGGCAGAGGTAGGTGGTATTTCTCTTAATCATCCTTGCACTATTCCAGTTTTGATTGTGGTTTCAGATGGCCTGCTGTTAAGGACACATACAGTATTCCCTGAAAATGTCGTCTAATCAGAAAATAAGTCCTAGTATGATTTTTAAGGATGCTTGTACTGGGTATGGTGGTGCAGACCTGTAATCCTAGCATTCAGGAAGCTGAGGCAGGAGGATTGCTGTGAGTTCAAGATCAGCCTAAACTACTTGGCAAGACCCTGACAAAAAAAAAAAAAAAAAAAAAAAAAAAAGCATGTTCGTGATACATATCTTACCCCCAAAATAAGCCTGTTAAGATTGTTAGCCAGATGGATGCATTTAGTATATCTGTTACAACACATGGCAGATGTATTGCGTGATAAAATGATATTAATATATAGTTAAATATTATATTGACAATACTTAATATAAATTATAATTATTTGTAAATACCCCAGCTGGCACTTCCGGGTAAGTGAGAGGTAAACTATGTAGAGTTTTTTTTTTTTTTCCTTTGAGACATGGTTTCATTGTGTAGCCCAAGCTGGCCTCAAACTTACAGCAATCCTCCTGCTTGTCTCCCACGTGCTAGGATTACAGATGTGTGCTATTCCTGTCTGTAAACAGATTGAGACTTAACAAATAAAGTACAGACACAAGGCACAGTGTGTACACTTGACAACGAATGGGTGTGGTTGTGTCTAATATGAATCTTTTTTTTTGGTACTGGGGATTGAACTCAGGACCTCGTACTTGCGAGGCAGGCACGGTGCCACAGAGCTAAATTCCCAGCTCTAATATGAATGTTTATAATTCAGTGCCATGAGTTGTAACGATGCCCTATGAGCAGGCTACATGGACAAGAAGTACTCATTTAAGAAGAGTTTTATTGCTGGACATGAGATATTGATGCCAGTGGTTCTACAGGAAATGGAGTTGTAAGAAATTCAGGCTGGAATTAGGAGTTTAGAGTTATGATGATGTTCTAGAAGATGACATGACTGCATTTTTAATAAATGTAGATTTATGAATAAATGTAGATTGTTTTACATGATAAAATGAAACATACCCTAAAAATAAGTCTTACTGGATCTTTTGGAGCAAAAACTAATATAAGACCTGTCTTATTTTCCGTGAAATACATTAAGTGCATCACTTTTAAAGAAGTCTGAAAATTCACTATTATCTTTAACAAAGGCAGCTAAATGACTTTTTTTTTTTTTTTTTGGTACTGGGGATCGAACTCAGGACCTTGCGCTTGTGAGGCAGGCAGTGGCACCACTGAGCTAAATTCCTGGCCCAGCATCTGTATGACTTTTTTGTTTGTTTGTTTTTCCGAGACAAGGTCTCACTGTGTAGTTGAGACTGCCCTGGAACTCACTGTGTAGCCCAAGCTGGTCTTGAACTCACAGCGATCCTCCTGCCTCAGCCTCCCAAGTGCTGAGATTACAGGCATGTGCCACCATGCCTGGCTTCTATGACTTTTTAACACCTCTTGTCTTATTATTTTTTCTTAGAGCCCCCTCAGATGCCCCTCGTGCTGATCTTCAGGATTTCTTGAGCCGAATCTTTCAAGTACCCCCAGGCCAGATGTCTAATGGGAAGTTCTTTGCAGCTCCTCAGCCTGGCTCTGGCGCCACTTCAGCCTCCAAGCCCAACAGCACAGTACCCAAGGGAGAAGCCAAACCGAAGAGGCGGAAGAAAGTGAGGAGGCCCTTCCAACGTTGACTCCCCTTCTCTACTTTCCTCAAATCAATGTCAGGGAGTCAAAAGGGCTGTGTACAGCACAGAATGGAGTTTGATTTGTTTATTTTTAAAGATTTTAAAAAGGGAAAATTTTAAGCTTAAATTGTTCATGAGTACTTTAGGAAGCCCCTAAACCACCGTCCCTCTTCCCCAGCACCCAGGAACTGAATCTTGTCTTCTGACAATACCAAAGAAATAGGGATGACTAGAGCAAAGAACCTAGGGCCTGGACCTGGGCTGGACAATATATCCCTTTGAGGGGTGGGAAGTATTTCTCTGGGGTTGGTATGCCTTTGTCTTGTCATTTGCCTTTAGAGCAGATGATCCCTCACCCTTTTAAACTATGAGTCTTATTTCTTGGTCCATTTTAGGGGGAGTCTCCATTACCCTGATAAACTAGTTAAAAGACAGAACAAGGAAGCATGTAGCCTGAATTTTGGAGATACAATAGAGTTCAGAAAGTGGAAACTCTGAAATTTTCCTTTCACTTTGTGGGCAAACCACCCAACTGCAGGCTTACTGTTGCAAGAATGGCCAAAATTAATAATTTTTAAAAAGCAGACTCATGCCCTCTGCCCTTGGGTAAGGAAGAATAACAAGGGAGTTCTCACAAGCCCCCTTGTTATCCAAGGGTTTGTATTTTTTTAAGTTTGTTCATATTTGTATGTACATATCTATTTAAAGCCAGGGGATTATCTTTCTATAAATATATAACTGGCAACCTGCATTTTCCCTGTCTTTTTTGCCCATATAGCCTGGACCCTTGTTCTCACTTGATAATCCTTCCCTACTATTACCTGAAAATGAAGGCATCTACTGCTGAACCAAAGGATAAAAAATTGCTTTAAGTTTTGAATAGTAAGCTAGTATTCCATCTTTCTTCCCCAGCATTATGAGGACATATCTCTACTTTTCCCCCAGCATTAGGGATTGGATCCAGAGCCTTTATACTGATACATATCTGTAGCCATTTTCAATTTTGAGACGGTCTCACTGAGGATGCCCTGAATTTGCAATCCCACTGCCTCATCCTCCTAGAGTGCTGGGATTATAGGTGTACACCACCTTATCTGGCTTCTCTAACCTTTTTGCTGATCAAATTGCAGCCATAGCTGAAAAAAATTATCTTTATTATAAGAAAAATGCACAGCAAAACAGAGCAGGAAAGTGGTAGAGGTGGAAAATGTAATCACCAAACTGCCCAAATATGGCTTCCTGTTATAGAGTGTTTTGGCTTTTAACCTCATTTGCCTTTTCTGACTAAAAAAATCTTCCCCTTAGCAGGGCTAGACCCAAGGGTCCCAGTTTCCAACCTCTTCTCTTCCTGAGTTTGGGAAAAGTTGTATAGTTCTCTAGCTTTCAAGAAACAGAAGATAGTTTGGAGAAGGGAAAGATGTTTTGGTCATTTGTTCCAGTGCCTTCTCCATGCCTATGGAGTTGTCCTCAGCCCTATCCCTCAGTATTTGTTGATGCCAAACAGACGAACCCCATGGAATTGGGGTAACTTGGGCAGCAGTACACTAAACAGTGAGGCAGTGTTGACGAAGAAGTGGGCAGCATCATACTTGGTGTAGAAGCTGGCCAGGAGGTAGCTGGGAGAGAAAAAAATAGGACGAGTGAGATTGGCCTTTCCTACACACATTTGTGCCTTTCCAGTGACCTTCGCTTCTATTTTATTTTGCTTTTGTTTTTGTGGTACTGGGGATCAAACTCCAGACCTTGCGCTTGTGAGGCAGGTGATGGCACCACTGAGCTAAATCCCTGGCCCTCTTCTATTTTAAATGATCAGTTTTATTGCATGTAGTTCTTGGATACCTGAGAATATTCCAGCTATATCATCAGCATTTACTTTGGGGTTAAGATAATTAGCACCTTAACTGAAGATTATAAATCAGTCTGTATTTAATTATTAATGACAAATGACAGCTAAAGCTGTTAGAGTCCTCTTTGCTTCCACTCGGGACTTTATGCTTCTGAGTCAGGTGGTGGAACCACTGACTGAGCTAAATCCCTGGCCCTGCATTTTTTTTTTGGGGGGGGTACTGGGGATCAAACTCAGGACCTTGCGCTTATGAGGCAGGTGGCGGAACCACTGAGCTAAAACCCCAGCCCTACTCACTTCTTTTTTTTCCGGTATGGGGATTGAACTCGGGTCCTTGTGCTTGTGAGGCAGGCGGCAGAACTAAATCCCCGGCCCCCTACTCACTTCTTTTGGAAGTGTAAAGTCACTTGGATCTAGTTGCTTTATCTTTTCGCAGCCGCTTCTCCATTCCTCTATCACCAAGGATACAGCAAAGAGCGTTTGATTACCACCTTCTACTTTTCACTGCTTTCTACAGGGTCAGAACTAGTATACTATAGTATCTTCAAAGGAACTTAGTTGAGTACTGCTTTTGTTTTTCTTTCATTTTTTGAGACAGGGTCTCACTTTGCAGTTCAGGCTGGCCTTGAACTCCAGGTGATCCCCCTGCTTCAGACTTCCAAGTCCTGGGATTACAGGTGTGTTCTACCATGCCCAGTTGCTTTTTCAAAGCTTTGCTATGCGCTTTTCTACCTGGTTCTTGGCGCTGCTGCTAACCCAGCATCTCCCCTACCCACCACGGACTCACAGTATAATAGGAGAGATGCTGAGGAACTTTCGGGAAGAGGTAAACTGGAGCCCGTAGTCCATCTGTTCCCAATGTGTTAGTAGCCGAGCTTTTCCTTGGTCAGGGGTTTCAAAGGGTGTCCCTTTCACTGTGTGTAGGAAGACATACATTGCCTGAGAAGAGGGAAAGGGACAGTGTCAGGGGCAGAGAGTAGTCTTTCAGCTCAAGAATTATACTAAATCTCCAATCAATTGATGATTTTATTTTGTTTTTGGTTGGGAAAAGCTTGAGGTAGACACAAGGGTGTGTATTAGTACTTACCAAATTGTGGATGACATTGGTCAGGGTCCAGACAACAGGAATGCTGAGGAAGGGAATGCTGAGGAGAACCATGTGCAGCAGTCCTACCAAGATGATATAGGCCAGCCAGATGCCCCGACTATTCATCACTCGTGTGTTGGGGTTTACTTCACTGTGTGCCACCCCCACATTCATCCTACCACAATGAGGGGATAAGGCAGGATCCAACTTAATTTCTTCTCAACCCGTTTCAGTGTTTACCCTAGTTATCTCCCTGAAGAGCCCAAATCCTCTGAACTCCAGCAGGAATGAAAGAACTTCTCTGTCGTGCAGAAAGGAAACATTGATGACTTTGGAAAAAATTTAAAAGATGCTGGGCATGGTGGCACATGCCAATAGTTCCAACACTTAGGAGGCTGAGGCAGGAGGATCACCGCAAGTTCAAGGCTAGCCTGAACTATGTAAATATGAGTCCCTGTCTCAAAAAACCCAAACAAGTTTAAAACACATTAAGAACCTACTTTTGGGGTCATTTTTACTCAGATTCTTATATGTTAACTAACATGAAGGAAAAAGCCTAGGCTTGGGACACCACTTTAAGGAAAAGAGTAAACAGTATTTCATTTAACTTTCGTGAAGAGGTCAAGAAGGATTCGAATAGTTACAGAACAGTGGTGGTCCAGACCAATCAGAAGGGATGAGAGTGAACCTACCTGTAGTCCCCACCCTTTTCTTTGAGGCTTGTCTGCCCTAGCTCTCACCCGCTTGGCATGTCAGCAGTCAACAACCCCATTCCTTGTGGGGCGCTGCAAGAACTTGCCCACGGTTTCTGAATTGAACAAGAAAGTCACCCAAACTCAGTGCTTGAAGAAATAGAGCTCTATCCCTGCTTGGGGCGTGTGTGTGGGGGACTGGTGTCTGAACTTATCTCTTTAAAATCGTACTCGCTCTAAAGCAGATGACGCCCGCCTTGAAATTCCCAAAACCTTGGTATTAATTCCCCCGGTGCCCCTCCCAGCTTTCCTCTTTCTCTTCAGTTCCTCTCAGGCTCCCTTCAGCACTCTTCTCAGTATTTGATTCGCCGCCTTCTCGCTGCCCTTTACGCCTCCCACCATTTACCTCCAGTAGCCCTTTCCGATTGAATCGTCAGCCCCTACCTGCCAGTCTCAAGAGCGGGTGCAGCTTGGGGTGAGGCGCTTCCTCCTACACCTGTGGTCTCCAGGAAGTATCCGCCCCCTGGTCTGTGCGCCGTTTTTATTGGAGAAGCCGGTTCATCACTGCTATCGCTTATTGGGTGGTGTTCTGCAGTAAGTGGGTACAATTGGTCACTCTTTCTGTCATTTGGAACATGCAGAGCCCGCCTTTCTCTTGGTCCCACCTCCTGGGAGAGCTGGGAAAAGTCGCTCGAGCGTGGGATTGACGCCCCTTTGACGAATGAGGAGAGCCGATGATTTGGGGTGGGAGTAAGACTAGCAACGATTGGTCAGACCTGGGTCTACGCCTAGGCGGGAGCTTTTGGGGGCGGAGGAAGCGGGTTGGGGCCGGCGGAGTGGCAGGGTAACAAGATGGCGGCGGAGACGGTGGAGCTTCATAAATTGAAGGTACTCTCAGGCGGGGGAAGGACTGAGGTGGGCTTCTTTGGGGACTGAATTGCAGAGGTGGCTTGCCCCTTTTTTCCTGCGTGTTCTTCTTGCAGTCTTTTCCACTTCGTTTCCCGACTTCCGCCGTAGTTCTTTTGTGCCTGCTTTCCTTACTTTTCCATGTCGTCTTACTTTTTTTTTTCCTGTCTTTTCCCGTTATTTCGGGTCGCCTCACCAATGTGTTGTCCATCACCCTTTACCAACCGGCTGTACAAGCGCCTTCTACCTGTTCTCGTTTCTTGTCAGCTGCGTTACGTCAGTGGTCCCTCCTCCGTGCTCCTGCCGGACTCAGAAGCTTTCTTCCCAAGATTGATGCTTTCTTGTCTGTTGTCCAAAGCTGAGATTCCCTTATTAGCAGATGATAGCATTTTTGCCTGTTTATATCTGAATACGTCCCAAACAGGATCCAGAAAATGTTTTCATTCCCTTATTCTAGGTAGGGTTACGCCCCCTGGGCGAATTTTGAAGCTTCCAGGAGAGGCCTCAGAAAAAGAGAGGCCTCTTCATAGAAGTCGGGAGTTGAGGCAACCTTAAGATTTTTTTATTTTTATTTTTTGAGACAGGGTCTCTCTTTGGCCCTGAACTCGCTATTTAGCCCAGACTAGCCTCAAACTCACGGCTATCCTCCTGCCTTTGCCTCCCTGATGGTAGGATTACAGGTGTGCGCCACTATGCTCCGCAAGAATTTGTAAAAATAGGTTTTCAGCCCGTCTTCCTCTCAGGCCTCCCCTAACCTCCAGAGAAAGAGAAATCATAGCTGTAGTATTTGGGAAAAACGATTTCAAGGTTAGGATTATCTGCCCTGCTTGATACCACGTGTAGACCCTGCATCTCTTGGTGTCACCACTGGGTGACACTCTGAATTACAGGAGTTACCTGTTTTAAGTTTTTCCTTTTGGGAATCTTGGTAGCTTTCTTAGGTTTAGATTATTATTCTGCTGGAAGGAGAATAGTTTAGGAAAAAGTAAGAAACTATCTTGTTTTGTTTTGTTTTTTGAGACAGGGTCTCACTATGTAGTTGAGACTGACCTGGAACTAACTGTGCAGCCCAGGCTGGTTTTGAACTCACAGTGATCCTCCTGCCTCAGCCTCCCAAGTGCTGGGATTACAGGCGTGCACCACCATGCCCGGCCTAAGAGACTATCTTGATTAGTTGTCTGAGGTTTCACAAGTCCTCCCATTGGATGTTTTGGTTATGTTATCCTGGGAACCTTGGACAAACCAAGTTGATTTAGATGAAATTGAAAACTGATCTTTTAAGCGTTAATGCCTGATGAGCTTTAACAACAGCAAGAACAACAACAAAAGATAGGTAGAATAATCGTAAGTTCAATCACTAGAGGACAGTAATTTTCTGTGAAAGCTGATATATTTAACTGGTAGGTTCTATACTGTGCTAGTGGGTTTTCAGTTTTTGTAATCTAGAATTACTATTAACTTTTAGTGTATGTGCTGCTGAAGCGAGCACATAGTTACTATTAACTTGTTGGTACTAGACTGTAGATTACAGGATGATTTAATATTTACTGTAACAAGAACTGAGCAACCATTTCATATATAGGTACAATTTACGTACTTTTGTACTGCTGTGTATAAAACACACAGAAAAGGAGTTTTTAGGTGAATGAGATAAAAAATTTAATAAAGGATTAATATTTTCTTTCTGTTTGTTCCATATTTGAAATTTTGGAATAAGTCACTAGCTGCTCTATGACTTGCATTTATGGATTTTTTGTATTGGTTTGTGGACTTTCTCTATTAAGTCAGTATTTTTCAGGTCTATATTAAATTTGCATTTGATTGGATAAGTCACTTTTACATAACATCCTCTGACCTGATTTCAGGTGTTACAAAAACATGAGGCATTCCTGAGGGCCTAAACAGGACTCACTCTTTAATCACATTTGCTTGTCTTTGCTTTTTCTCTAGAGCATTTAACCTTTTGGAGGTCACAGATGTCTTTGAGACTCTGATGAAAGGTATGGACCCTCTCCCCAGAAAAACGCATGTATACATACTTTGCATGCAATTTGAGGGGATTTATAAAACTACCTTGTAGCCCTGAGGAGTCCATGGACCTCTGCTTAAGAACCTATGCCTTAAATTCTGGCTTCTAGTCATTTAATGTTTGGATATAGTGGTAATCTTGATGGAGTGATCCTGACTTTTGGTTTGATTTCGGGTTTTATTGTCTTTAATTTTTTTTTTTTTTTTGAACTAAGGATTGAGCCCAGGGCCTCACACATACTAGGCAAGTGCTCTGCCCCTGCGCTACATCCCCCAGCTCTTTTTATTTTTTATTTTGAGAAAGGGTCCAAGTTGCCCAGGGTGACCTTGAATTTGTAATCCTCCTACCTCAGTCTCCCAAAGCACATTCCACTGTACCTTTAAAATCTATTTTTATAAAGGGAATTTGGGGCTTTAGCATAGGCACTTTTTGTTTGTTTGTTTGTTTTTTAGTTTTTTGAGACAGGTTCTCACTATGTGGTTGAGTCTGACCTGGAACTCACTATGTAGCCCAGGCTGGTCTCAAACTCACAGTGATCCTCCTGCGTCAGCCTCCTGAGTGCTGGGATTACAGGTGTGCGCCACCACGCCGGGCCAGCATAGCACTTTTGAGGAAAGAAACAAGCCTTGAAGTAGGAAGGAAAGATATCTATTTGAATTGCTGTATAAGGTCATATCAGCTGCAAATTTCTGAAGATTTTGTGGCAATGCAGTCATTCTAATATAGTTAGAAGAGACTAAACTAGTTGAAATGCCTTGAACTCTAACAGTATTAGATTTCCAGCTAAACAATGAGAAAAGGAATTGCTGTTAAGGAGAGAACCAGAAAAGTATAGTATTATCAGAGTATTGAGAACGCTGAGACATTTATATCTATAAAATATTAAGTGTAAAGCCAGGCGTGGTGGTCCATGGCTGTTATCCCAGCACTGAGGCTGGAGAATTGCTATGAGTTGGAGACCAGCCTGGGCTACATAGTGAGGTCAGTCTCAACTACATAGTGAGACCTTGTCTTAAAAAACAAAAAAACAAAACAAAACAAAAAAATTAAATGTATATACATTAGTGTTGAAGACAGTTTGGAAAATAGGTTAACTGACTCTAAAAGTAAATTGGAGTGATACTGAAAAAGGCCTTCAAAATCATACAAAATGTTCTGGTTCTCATATAGTCTATAAGTAGTTTGGTCCTGGGTACTGAAAAAAGAAAAGAAAAAAAAAACAAAAAACGAAAAAACCCCAAGAATACAGCATACTAAAAGGGAAAAAGGTGGAGTGTATAAGTAGGGCCAATTGGAAATTTGAGAGGAGGAGCCTGATGAGTTTGTGTTCTACCTTTTTTTTTTTTTTTTTTTTTTTTTTTTTTTTT